TATTGATTTTTCATGATGGGTGATCTATCTGTTCTCAGACTGAGTTTTCTTAGATTCCTGTAATTCTTGATCATAGGAATTAATATGTACGAGAATGAGGATCAGAGTTGAATTTGGAATAAGGGTATGTTCCCACACGTCTGACATCTGCTTAGGCTTTCTTTTGACTGTATGCATTGAGCCTTTTCATATTGTGTCTGCTTTCTGCTGCACCTGTTTAAAAATAATGGATTGGTGATTGTGAGAGATTGGAAAGGGGAAAAAGGAAGATATTCAGCTTCCTATGAATTTTTCAGATGACATCTTTAATCTCTATATACCCTGTGCAGTGCTTTGGTAGTATGTGTATCTCAGGAAGCTCCATTATCCTTTTGATAGTAAAGACTTTTGACTTTTTTATTTAAATTAGAATATTCAGAATAACTGACAATTATGTGTCTTCATTTTTTCTTTTGACAGTGATAGATGGTTCCACTCTAAGAACAGAAGAAAGACAAAGATTGGCCAGGGAGCGTAGAGAAGAGCGGGAAAAGCAACATGGTATTTTCGTGTTTCATTTTAAATATAATTTCCTAAAATGTTTGTGATAAAGGAATAACTTACTCTCTTGCTTCTTGTTCAGTCACTTTTTTCAGCTTACTGGGGACAAGAGACAAGGTCTGCTCTTGGTCTTGCACCAGTGACCATCTGTGAACCTGAATGGATAATTACTACGTTTGAGAGGAAAACATTCTAGAGATTTTTAGTTTCTTGAAGCCGTGTGTCACTTCTGGCCTTCTGTTTCTTTGTGACGACCGAGCAAATTTAGCCAATTTCTTATTGAAAGCCTTAACAAAAACACTTCTGAAATGGCAGCTTTTAGCTTAGGACTGCTTCCCATAGCCCTGAAGACTGAGGTTTGGGGAACACTGATTCAGAGAAAACCAAAAAAGATTCAGCTGGTTGAATGGCGTGATTGCCTTGAACACTGCTTCCCTTGTTTCCTAGCACACTGAAACGACTCCTGGATTGAAGAGTCAGCAGTATACACTTTATCTTACCAAAGAATCTGAGACCTCGAGAAAGGCGTAAAACTCTTGCCCAGCTTTATGCTGTTAGTGACGCGAATCAGTGCATGCGTGTGAACTAGAGATGAAAGGGTCACAATATGCCTACAGTCCTGGTTCTCCGTCTCCCAGCTTGTGAGGAGTGGTGTCTCTCTGGCCTGTATGTTTGTTTCTTAACATAAAAGTAAAGACACACAGCAACAGGAATGATTGTGTTGTCCTAACACAGAGAGAGGATAGGACTAGGATGCATATAAAATCAGAAGTATTTTGGCAGCCTTATACGTAGATACTGCTTATGCATTGTTGGCGTAATTATCTGGTCTCTTGGTGCATTTCATGTGTCTAGCCACCGAAAATACTTCCACTGTGTGTTCAAGCACTAGCTTTTTGTCACAGGACTTGACGCTTCCTGTTAAACTGCGCACAGCTGTTCCTAGGTGGAGGCTGCGGAGAACAGTGACATTACTATTTTGAACTCGGGTGCAATAACTGTGGGGTTTTCCCATCTTGTCACTTGGTGCTTTAAATCCTTTCATTATATCTTGTTCTCAAAAAATGAAAATCGCAACATAGGAAATTCTGCCCTTTGATACTCAACTTCCTACTTACTTATAAAGACGTCACTATATATGATGGCAAGAGAGGTATATACCTAACATAGGGTATATGCGTATCCTGACATTCCTGTCTAGACAGCGAAGTCTAATGGCAGGAAAGGTTCTAATTCCTGCCCAACCTGGGGACAGAATTAGACACCTCTGTCATCATGTGCGGTGTCATCCAGCACTGCAAGCTAATCTTGCTGTATGTTTTAGCTTTAAGTGGTGATAATTTTGCTAGGTAGTCTCTAGCCTGTAAGTTGTGTTGTAATATCAATGAATAATTGTTTGATTTTAAGTTTTTCTTAAAAATTTACAGCTGCCAAAGAGACACAAATCCTTGAAAAGGAGAGAAAAGCAAAACTCCAGTATGAAAAACAGTTAGAAGAAAGGCAGAGAAAGCTAAAGGAACAGAAGCAGAAAGAGGAACAACGGAGAGCAGCAGTAGAAGAAAAGAGAAAACAAAAAATAGAGGAGGAAAAGGTACTACGCATCAAAGTTCTATAGTTTTAAAGAAACCCCCACATTGTTTTCCTACATTATTGTGCTCTGCAGTGGTGTGAAATGGAAAGTTACGGAAATGGTGTGTGTATTAGAACACAAAAATATTTTCCACATCTGTACAGTGGGCTATATAGACACGTCCCCCTTCCCCGTCCCAGCCTAGCTTTAACTATCCCCGAGGCATTCAGGACTTTAGGAGCTGTGGTTACTGTTTGGCCACTAGTTACTTTTCACATGAGCAAAAACCCCACCCCATATTCCTAGATTTCTAGAATCCTTTCAGTGCACTTTGTAGATTCTGCTTGTAAATCAGCGGGGGTGACGGGTCTTAGAGTTCCCTTAATTCTGTGTCTTGCTTCTTGGGGGCCCCGTTGTGGCCTAAGAGGCTCACATTCTTTCGGTTCTTCTAAACTACGGTTTGTTACTATATGTTGTACAGTTGATAATGTTTTCTGTGTAGTTACCATTTGCTGCTTTGAGCTGTGTATTGACCGTTCTTACTTGACTCTTTGCCTTTGCTTTGACTGCACCTGAACCAGCAGAGCAGTATTTGAGTTGCAGAGTTCATGGCAAGATTGATAGAAGCTGGAAGTAGAAATAAATATATGCCATCCCCTTTGAAGAGCAGATCCGCTAGTGCATATTTAAATGTGGTACAAGTTCTGAAGGGTTCATTTCCAGGGTGTTAGCAGTAAAAGCATGACACGCACATGTGCTGTCATAAGCTAGCTGTAAGAACTTGCTGTGGGTCAGTGGGGAAGAGCCTGTAAGCCTGGCTGGCTGCTGCCTTGGAGTCCAGCCATTGTTACATTGTTCTAGCAATACCTCGTCTTTGACCCTTTTTGACTGGCAGGATTCTACATTGGTGTTTGGTTATCTGTAATCAGCTTCTGGGTGTGTTCAGATTGATATTCCATTTGAACTTCATAGAATAGTTTACATTGCTGAAGAACAAGCAGAAATGTTTGGGTGGGCCTTGACTGCAGTCCAGTGCAGTATTATCTCTTTGAGCAACTACTTTAAGCAAAAAGCATCCCTGATGCTTCAAGAGGTGTTGCCGCTAAGCCTATAGTACATTCATGTAATTTCGGGGAGAGTGGAAACATTTTAAGCGGTCACTGGGGTGAATAATCAAGGAAGACGAGGACGAGCCGATGAGTGTTTGATTGGTGTTAACTGTGTCTTTTACTTGGTCCCTGGAGGAAGATGACCTTGTACATAGAGAGTTATACATGAAGAATCTGCCAGATGCGAAAATAGTATGCGCTTGACGTGTAAACCTTGCTTTCCACCACAAAGTGAAAACAGACTTTGACTTTTGTACTCTGACATTAGAAAATAGTAACTTCTAAAGAAGCGAACCTGTCTCAGGGCAATATTTGCCAGCAAGTTATCACCTACAGTTGTAAATTTAGTAGATAGGATAGAAGTGCGTGAAGAAATACAGTCTCCAGCGTTCTTGTTTGGTACTTCAGCCAGGTCTCATTTAATTGATCACCTTCCTTAGATAAAGTAGAAGCAGCACCACAATAGTAAATACTGTGCGAAAAGAAGCCTAGGAGAGTCTTGAAGACAACTGGCTATGGCTGGGGTTGGGATACCCGTCTTCTCACAGTTACTCAGTTGTTCTGTACAGCTGTGCAACTTGTTACGTTGATGTCTTGAGCAGATAACTGATTTTGAGTTGTTTGTAAAGTGAAGCCTATGGCTTTAACTAGAACTTTGAAGAATTACCACAGTGCAGATACCTCCATGGAAATACCATCTGCAGATTACATCATGTCTGGGTACTTTGGCTCCTTAGGTAAACTCTAGTTCAAGTTTCTTTAACAGAGGGGAAGCTAAGCTTTATATTGCAAACAAAACCTTTTCATTTTATCTTTTGTCACTGAACGGAATCCTTCCTCCCAAGTTTACTTTGTCTGTTAAACACTACGGCTTTTTTTAGTTTGTGTTGTGAATTGGTGCTGAAAGAAGGTGAAAGTCTTGTGTCCTCAAGAGGGAGAAAAGTTTGGATAATGAGTCCCCTTGGCATCTTACTGCAATGTATCAGCAGTAAATACTGCTTCAAAAGGTCACTTGGGATATGACTATTCCAGAAGAGAAATCTGTTGTTGACACGTATATGGAAGCCTGGCCGATTATGGAGAGGCATGGTTACAGTTCATCTTTATGCACGAGACGTAAAGTTCCCACGTTAGCAGTTACTAGTAAGAAGTACTAGACGGAAGAGAAAGGTTCTTTCAGTCCTCTTCATCCTGTCAGCAGTGGTTGTTGAGGTCTGTAGTTCATTGGTCTTTTTCTGCAGTTTTGCCTTCATGTCTTGCTATTTCTGGTTTCATTGTATCTCTATTAATGCCAGTATCTGTCAATGCTTGGGTTAGGGTTTGCGTAGTTCTCTGAAAATACAAATAACCTTCTACTCGGTCTTTTATAATGGAGAATTTTTAGCACTTTTTAGAAATAAATTCAGAATATAAATAGTGTAAAGGGTTAAGCAATTATTTTTCCTCAGTTTGGGGTTCATCCCTATTTAGAAAATAAGTAGTGCTGTTTACTTAATAGGAAATCTGTTTGGTGGCTATTTTAAGTAAAGAGTAGAATAGATTATCTGTGCTTTAGCTCAACCTAATCATGTTTGTGGCATTTCGAAACCATTAATTGCCTTTAACGTTCTTTGCATGATAGTTTTTGTAACAAAAGCTCGTTGTCGGGCAGTAGAGGTAAACCAGATTTTAAATCATACTGGGGAAAAATATCTATGTGTTGTCTTCTGGCATAGCTGTGCTTTACAGTTATATAGCTTCATAGAGGTGTTGTTTGATGATAGGAGCGATATGAAGCAGTGATGCATCGTACCTTGGAACGGAATCAGCGACTGGAAACACGACAGAAGAGATGGTCGTGGGGAGGGTCTGTAACTCCAGATTCAGAGAGCAAAACGGGTAAGTAGCACCTTTTCTAGCATGGCTAAAATCACAGCGTATTATGTGTGGACACTGGCAGGTGCAGCACTGTTCACAGGGACCTGGGCATCCTTTCCTGTCTTGGATCTTGCAACAGGAGCTACACACAGCTCTTGGGGGAGGATTCATATCTGTACTTGCCCTGAAATGCTGCTCAGACTTAGAGCTAGTTTTGACTTTTGGGAGGAGCTAGAGAGAAGCCACATGGGAAACACAACACCTGGCAGCATTGCCAGCTCCCAACCGTCAGATAAGGGGAATTGTAGTGTATAATGTTAAAATAATTCCGAATCCTTCAAATGCAGTGGATGTAATGGTGCGCTAAGACTGATTATAAACAGAACCAAAAAAATCAGTTGTACTGTAATATTACATCTAAAATGTTTTGAACACGCCCTTAGAGTTACAGAATGCTAACTGATTGTTGGAACAACCGGTAACGGGTAAGGAGAGGCAGTGGGCAGTGTCCGAGCTTCTCGGAGGATAGGTTCTATTCTAGATCAGGTGATGCCTTTTAACACTCTTTAATTTGAACTCAGATTGTTTCCTATTTCACACAATTAACTGTTTCTGCCTGTAAACGTTCTGAAATCAGACCAGCAAACAAAATTGCAGTGGAAGGGATCTTCTCATGCACTACCTAACTGGAAGACCTTGCCAGTAAATAACAACATAAATTATTGTCCAGGAATAAAATAAAACAAAAAATGCTTCAATTCAGCCTCTCTTCTGAATTGGTGGAATTGTACTGAGTGTGTTTTAGTAGTTTCTTCTTCTGTCAGCTTGAGTGTTGACTTTTAAGTGCTTATTTATAACATGTTTGAAAGTGCTTTGATACAAATTATCAGTATATCAGCTTCCCCATTTTTTTGGCTAACTTGCATTGTTTGCTATTTGACCTTATGACTTAGCTTACAAACCTTCTTCTTCTACAGAACAACAGACCGCAGATGAAAGTGGAACTGGTGGTATTGATTTCTAAAATGTTCTTTTTTCTGTTGTTTCACGCTCACTACTAACCTTTTAAACTTGAGTTCTTGTTTCTCTGAAACTAAGGAAAGCCATCTTCTTATAGATCTTTTCCTGGATCTTGGCCAGCTGTGCAACAAATGTGATCCCTAAGTAGAAAGCGCGCGCGCGCACACCCCACACCCCCCCCCCCCACGTTTTTAACTATCCCTTCTAGCTAATTAAACTACAGCTTAAGTCATGGCATCCTGAGGGAATTTTCAGGGAAGGGATATGTGCCTTTGGGTTTTTAAAGATGACTAGAGACAGCATGAGGGAGAAGAGGAGAAATTTAGTGGTATGTATTTGAATATAAATTAGTTCAGTAGTTTAAGCTTTTATCTGAAGGGCAATTTTGAACCCCTTCGTTGTTTCCTAATTTGCAAAAAGTACATGGTAGGGCTTCGTTTGTTTTCTTCTTGCTTTGTTTTACCAGAAATTGAAGTTAACATTTGCAAAATCAAATGATATTTTGCTGAAGCTTTGTGAAAGGGAATGGGTCCTTTGTGCAGTTCGATACTTTTTCCATGAAGGGTTTTGCAAAATCAGATCTGTCCAATTATCTAAACATAATTCTATATATCAAATGTGTTTTCATTGGCTTTCTGGCACTTCCCAGTGCACAGACTGAGCCAGTCATAGAAATGCTTTGGATCACTGATAGATTTGTCAAGGCTATATGTTTAATAAGCAAAATTATTTCTTGTAGCTGGTTTAAGATGATAGCTCTCAGCTGAGACCCCACTAAATCTGCATTCTGAAAATCTGTGCATGCTCACAGCATTACTAATTCAATACAGCTGTCCTGTAACGCTCACAATATGAGACTTGAAAATGCAATGAAAATCTGACTGGGTATGATTTAACTACTGTGGCTTATTCTGGCAACACAGCAGAAGCATGTGTATTTGATTTAACTTCTCTCTTCCCTTTTGCTGCACAGCATGAATCCCTAATTTTCTCCAAAATTAGCCAGTTTGACGGGATTGGTTTACCTGTTTAACATGTGTTCCTTGGATACATATACAAATCCAATTACTGTATCCCACATTTCTAAATGTCATTTAACCTTGAAACTAGGAAATCACATTTGCCTTAAACATTTAGGGAAGTACTATTTTTTTTCCTCCTCTATTCTTTTGCACCTTATCTAATTTTCAAGCTAAACTTTTATAACAAACATAAAATAATGTTCTCCTCATTTATGCAAGGAAATAGTCTTGTCTGTCCTTTTGATCACGGAGGAAGACTTGAACCACAGTGCTGCTGAAGCATGCTAAAAATAAAGTGTCTTCCAATGACGTAAAAACATGCATTTAAGCTGTACCTTACGCATCATAAAGTAACAACAGGAGGAGCAGATAAATTCAGCCACTCTCGATCAATTTGAATAACTTGGCACCAATTTTGAAAAAAATTACTGGGGAGATAAACAGATAATGCTGTGTTTGACCAAGACACTTGTGCATCTACACTGTTTTAAATTTGTGTTCATCTTTTCGTTGAGGTTTCAGACGTACAGCTGTCTTACCTGGGCTGGCTAACATGGAATCGTGATTGGATTCATGCTTCTCATATTTATTCCCATTTCAGGATTGTCCTTAGCTTTTTTTTAACTTTTTTGTTATTTGAAATCTACCCAAACCATGTAGAATGCCTAGATCTAGCCAGCTTTCTAAAAAATCCTTATTTGGTCCCTTTCACCTTGTCTTGCCAGCAATTTTGCAAGTATAACAATTACTTTTGGATTTCTGGAAAATGACACCATATGAGCTCTGCTACATTACATCATTGTGGCTGAGTAGTGCACCTTCTCTAACAGCACCTCTAGAGCAAGTTTCAATGCAATATTATTTTTCCACCATCGGCTTCTGTGGCAGATTTAGGATTGAAGGCTCAATTTCTTCAAAGGAAAACCACTGGGGGAACGGATACCGAGTATTCTTTATATTACTTTTAGGACTAAAGGCTTTCTTGTCTATTGTATTGCTGTGCATAGTATCAGACACATTCTTCCACGAGCTGGCCATGTCAACAGTAATGTTTAGGAGCGTTGACTGGTAAAGCAGCATTTGTGGGTGGTAGAGGTGGAGTGCTCTGGAAGGTAACCCCACGTAATTGAACGTTTCACCAACCATTAACCATTCTGCATTGTGTACAGAAAGTGATTCATGAAGGCTGCACCAAGTACCCCGCCGATGGTCTGAAATTTAAAAATTGATGAAAGCCCCAGAGTCAACTGTTGCATTAATGACATTGCTGTCAGTGCTAAGATGAAACGTGCAGGGTGTGGGTCTGCCAAGAGAAATGGCAAGGCTGTGTAATAAAGCATCCTTGATGACAGAGTCCTTGTAAATGAGGGAGGTTTGGTGATGACTGTTGAGCAAAACTAGACATTCAGGTGCATTTGTAGTGGAGACATGTGCTATTTGAATAGAAATTGGGCTGCCAGAGTCTCTCCTTTCTAAATAAAGAGCTTCCTTGTCCTAGTAGAAATTTGGAAGGTACTAAGAGACAGATAATCTTATTTTATTTAGCCTAATTTTATCCAGCCTCAGATAGGCGGTGCTCCAGCACCCTCTCTCAGTGAAACTCAGAAGCTATGTTGAGAGGATCATCGCTCTAGTGAGAATTTTCTTGAGATACCGTGTTTCCTAGCGCCTTACCCCATTGCAAGCCTTGCTGCATGATGCTTTATTTGGCTTCGCTGCTTCAGTTTGTTTTCCCCCTTCCATAAAAAACAATGCAGACATTTGGTATTGCGTGGGACTATGCTATATGCCTCTTCCATTTAAAATCCTTTGATGTGAGTAATCTAACTTTCCCCCCAAAATGCAAAAGAGTAATTTACCTATGTAACCAGACTACCTTACTCAAGAATATCCTGTCTGTCTTTTAAAGCTTTTTTTCCTTGTGAATTGTCCAAAGTTTTCAGGTTTGCAGAAGCTATCTTTTGGTCAAAGTAGGGAAAAAGTTGAGGCCATCCAGTCATATATTTGCAAAACTATTGATCAAAAAAACATTGACTTCTGAAGATCTTAAAATTTTCTGGAAAAAGAAAACTCAAATATCTGTATGAATACCCTTTAGCGATTAGGATTTTTCAGTCAAGGTATCGATTGGGATGTTAGCTCATGCCCTCACCACTGATCTCTTTCAAAAAAACCTGTAAAACAGAAAAAGATGCTGTTTTTTTTCGCCTGAACAGTCATATATAGACTGTCATTTTTTTCTTGTGAATCTTCTAGTGGGAGTTTGATCCTTTGTGTCTTTACTGAACAGCACAGCCCACCTCCAGAACTTGGAAACTTGCCAGAAAATTGCTCTGCGCAGTGTATTTTTCCCTTGAGGCAAGGTTTAATTTTCTGCCCTCCAGGTCTTAGTGGGTGATAGGCCAAATCTGAGATTTCATGCAAGTGCTAATTTGAACCAAGAGAAGTTTGTATGAAGCATCTCCATGACGTTTGAAGGCCTTTGACTCACATACTTGAGCCAGGCTTTCTTTTTAAGAGCAGACGCTAGAGGGTAGTCTTTCCCTTCGAAAACACCCAAATACGTGAATTATGAGTTTCCTGATTTTCGTATATAAAGCCTCTCAAGGCTGTTTTAGTTACCCCAGTATTCAGGCTTCATTCATAAAATGCCTTTTTTTTTCTTTCTTTTTTTTTTCTGTTGTTGTTACATTGGGACAGCATCCACTAAGCTCAGATCTTCATTTCTGAACTAGATTCAATAGATCCCCCTTTCTCCCTCTTACCCCGTGGGGACTTTGCTCTTGTTCACGGTGACAAGAGCTTGCCACTTTCGTAGCTTCAGCTGCAAAAATCTGGTTTTTGCTTGACGCGGTTTTGCGGGAGGCCCCTGACTTGGAAAGCCCGGCTTGGGTACGTGTCGCAAAGGTACGACGCAGGGGCAGGGCTGTCCGTAGGAATCCTTATGTCCTGGCCCTTGCTATAAGGAGCTGCTATAGCATGCTGGCCAAAGGGGAAAAGATGCTGCCTCTGTGGTGAGTAGCGCTGCTTTTTCCTTTGGTACTTATGCACTAACGGGTTCACATTAATCATCTTTGCTGTCCAATATGCCAGCAAAATCAATTGCTTGTGTTTGATGTATAGAATTCCTTGTGTTTATTATGCTAGTCCCGACTACTTTGTGTGCGTTACCGTTTCTTTTTGCTTATTGAGTTTCCATAGCAGCGCGTACATGCTTTTCCAGGGCTTTCACACTCTGGAGTAGTGTTCATCCTGAAAGTACATTCCTTGAAATTAAAAAGCAGGTATTTATCTGTCGCGTGGTAAACTTGAAATTTTGCCATGTGAGGTGTGATTTTTATGTATGTGTGTGTGTATTACACACACAAAAAAACCCACTTGTTGTGGCAATTCTTTTGAGAAGAGTTAGAAAACAGGTAGGAAACAAGAACTTAAGGAATAGGTTTTTGGAAAAAAAATATGGAAATTTCTAAATTAGAGCAACCCTTGGGAAGTAATTGGAAATAGGAATGCTTTCTTGCCCTTCCTCAGGACTTGCTTTTGTCCTTCCAAAAGCATTTGTTTTGGTTTTGTTAACTGGTGATTGAAAAACTGTTTTGACATACCTCTGTGGAAGGAACAAAGAAAGAAATTATTGTTATACAGGTTTTGTTGTTACTTTCTCTGTCTTGCCAGTCTGGTAACAGCACAGAGCCTCAGTAGCTTTTGTCTTTACATGTTAGGAGCACAGGGTTTAAAAGTCACCTGTTCGTGTCCATATGCCTGAAATCTTGGCATCATTCCACTAAAACTAAATGCTTTTTCTGTGCACGTTGCAACTGGTGCTAGTTGTATCAAGTCTGTTTAAAGTTGGGGGGGAATCATCTCTGTTTGCTATTAAGCAAAACTGGAAACAGCTTTCAGGATGTAATACTTCCAAAGTTAGCTCACAGCAATGTGTGAAAGGTTCTTCCTCAGGTATGAAGGTGAATGCTAAAGTCAGCACTTCTTTACACAGCCAGCAAGCGGTCCACCTCCACAGCAAACCTCAAACAGACAGAAGCTGTCATGAATAAACGGTTGTCATCATCTGCAGCGCTTTTAAACGCGTCTGATCGAAGTAAGTGTTTGTGTGTCTACTGGTAGCAGGTGTGCTGCTCAACTGCTACTTGGGGAGGAGACAGGAGGTGGAATGATACTCCTCTTCCTCCCTTGCTCTGTAACTCACTTCGTGTTTTGATCTCAAATGCATTTCATGCAATTTGTTAATCCAGCTTGACTGTTCAGGGCTTTGACCCAGTTGATGTGATCTCTGTTAGAGGAGAAGAGTAACGGTAAAGATCGCTGTTTTTTTAATTTTTATTTTCGTAATTGTTTTACTAAAGTTGAATCTTGGTGAATGATGATTCACAAATCATTTCACATCGTCTTTATGGGTTTGCATGCCTCAAATCACACCCTAAAATTTCAGCAAAATAGTACAAAAATAAAGTTTCTGTTCTGTTAGACAGCTTTAGTCATTTGATTGCCTGTGGGAAGGAAAAAATCAATGTAGTTTTGACATCTTTCTGTTGTGACAGTCCTGTATTCTATAGACACGCTTTCTTTTTAATATTAGAATTCTGCCTTAACCGAATAGAGAAGGGTGCATGAAAATCTCTTGACACCTGCGGGAGTATTTTGGGTGGGAGGAGGTGGTTTTGTTTTGACCTGGAGTTCTAGAATTATTATAGCCACAGCGTGCAGCTCTGACATCACTTCCTAGCCCAATAAAGTAGTGTAAGCTTGATACTCACACTCAAATCCTGCATTTCTCAAACTGTTAGTGCACACCACTGCTTGCAAGCATTCTGGGTTACCAACTGTGCCAACGACTGTCAAGGAATAGAAATGGCCTGGAAGCCAGCTATTCCTTTGATTATTTTTTTATAAAGGCTTTCTGAGAGTGTTTGCACTCTAGAAATCCTCTACCAATTTCTGTGGCTTCCAGTCTTACTTTGAAGGGCAGCTTTGGGGTGGATGAGGCTCCTGAGTGCAGCGTGTCATGTTTAAAATGTGTAACACCCAACTAGTCTTAACAGGGTTGTAGAGGATGGGGTAGATCTCTGGTTTTCCCACTCTCTGCTAAACCTGTTGTATGTGCGAGTCTCCTCTCGGCCTCCTCTCTTCTGCCCTGTCCCGATACATGTAAACTACTTATAGAGGGCAAATGGGAAACGAAAATTATAGAATGTTACATCAAGGTAATTCTGTAAATCATGGCAATCTCCATTCTCCAAAACAAACAAACAAAAAAAAAGCAAAACACAAGGAATTGTCCTAATCTACTTGTTTAGAAAAGTGAAAATTATTTGCACGAGCACGTTTCAGCTTGTTTTAGTCTGAGATTTCCTTGTGGGGAATCTTCCCAGTGCTTCGTAGGAGCTTGCTTGTGCGCCAAACCTTGTATTTTTTCCCAAAATGATGAAAAGCATTAATAAGCTAAGAGCTGTTTAATGCAAAAACAAGTTCCACCAGGTCTATGCCGCAGCGTTCTGTCAATCTACAACCTTTGATCGCATGAGCTGTGCTAGAAGAATCCCTAACATGGTCACAGCTAACAGTGATTTTGCTGGTTCATGGTGGAAGGTGATGCAGCAGAAAAACTTGTACGCTGTATGCCTGGGAGGGGAATCAGCGAATATATCTATACTGGCGTAGCTGCAGGGGCTCTGAGTCACTAGAGGCTGCTTGTGATTTAAAATTATATTTATATATATTGTGTCTGCAGGGTTCAGCTCTGGGTATGAGTCAGAAACAGGGCTGTAAAGTATAAAGTAAGCCACTAACAAAGGAAGTCACTAATTATCAACTAATTGGTATTGCTTTCAAAGTCAGTGTCATACATGGAAATCCTTTGTGAATCCTTATTCACTTTGGAGGAAAAATTCTCAGGTGGCCTGAAATACAAGAAATTTGAACAGGACTCCAACAATACAGAGATCGACTAACTGACTAGTTTAGGTCACCACAGTAAACTGGAGCCATTCTGTGCCCTTGATCTGGCGCTCAAGAAGAAATGACTGTTTGTAAATGATGGCTAAATTCAAACCACAGAAAATGCAGTCACAGAATTAACCAGTTTGCTGCTGCCGTGTGTGTGTGCCTGGGAAGGTGGAGGACCAGAACGCAGAATTAAGAGAAAGATGCTTGTCTCTGGATCAGTGGAGTATTTAATCAGCTGGTTTTTGTTAATTCTAAGCTGAGCACTTTGTTTCTCGCTCTTACTCATACGGAATGCGAGCAATGGCCTTTTTTAATTCTTTATTTAAAAAGATGCACAAGGATGGCCTCAGTAGGTCAAACAAGAAATCTGTTGAAACTGGCATCCTGCTGCGATGATCAGTAACACAGAGAAATATAAGAAATAATGCTTTATATAGAGTAATTCTTCCCTGATCCAGTTTTCTTGCTTCTGAAGGATTCATACTATAAAGTGACTTAATTATTGTTTGCATCTTAGGGAAGTAGGGCTGTGTTGGAGGGGACTTTGAGGCTTTTCAGCTTTGTTAATCTATGCGCTTTCGCTTCCAGGTACCACAAAGAGAAGTGCCTCATTAAACAGACTGAATAACAAAGTTCCTCTACATTCTCAGCAGTCAGCACTCAAAAGTTCGCAGGTGGAACAGAAAGGTGCTAGAAACCAGTTTGTTTTGAGAATTGGGAGGCAGTAAATGGGTTATTTGAAGTTGACTTTAAACCACGTCCCAGTTTTATTATAAATGGTTTTACTTGGGCTCTCCCTGCTGTGCGTGTAGTCTGTGCGCTGTGGCATAAATATTATTCCGCACAGTGCAGGGCCAGATATTGGGTAACTGTGTCTATAAACCAGTCCTACTCCTCTGAAAAGTGGAAGGGTGGGGGGAGAGTAGACAAATGGTAGCCAAACCGTTTAGCTCATGAGAAAATAGTGTTCGTAATGATAGATCGCTGGTTTCAGCTGATTTCTTGGCAAGAGCAAAGCATGGGAATGGCAGTTTAGAAAATGGTATATAGAGATATCTTGTTAAAAATAATCTTCCTTACGCTTGGTCTCTAGGAGGAACAGAAAAGAAGAGGAGCACATCTTTGAATAGAATGAGTAGTAAACCCCAACCCTCTCCAGAACTAGAAAAAGTGAAAAAGGAAGAAAAACCAGGTGGTTGTTTCATAAAGCTGAATATTTCTTTTTAAAGTCATTCATAGTAAAGGTTGGATAGGCTTACTTTCGCTGGTTTCCTTGCTTCTTAAATTTTTAGGACTTTTTTGTGGCTTTTTAGTTATCTGGTGGTAAAGATAAAATTGTAAAAGGTAAAGATAAAATTTCGCCCTTTGGACAAAAAAGAAATCCTCTAAGAAGAACTTTGACTTTGTTAAATGGCACTGTAAGTAGATGGCAAAATGTGTCTCTGCTTGAGAGAGATGTATTTGAAAGCTGGTAGGTTTAAATGTAAAATACAGTAAAAATGTCACTGGTATGTTCACTCCTTAGTTCAATCTTACCTTTGCTTTTTAAGCTCTCTTTCATTATTCAGTTTAAAAGCAACTTCTCTGTTCCTGCTGCTGGCCTAAACTTTCTGCATGCAAACAAAGGAGGAAACCTGTTCTCACTTCAGTCTCTTTTGGTCTGTGTATTCCCCACTAGGTTACAAATAACCTCTTTTCTAGGAAGTCTTCCTAAAGCTGAAGACTGGCAACTTTTCTAACATGTTTTCCCCTTTGAGTTAACAACTCTGAAACTTTCCTTTTTAGCAGCTCTTGCCAAGAGTGGAAATGAAAGTCTGCTTCAGAATCTTTCCTGTACGGGAGGATGATGGGTGCTGTCTGTGCGAAGCTGTATGTGCAGATGATGCCTGATGATAACCGTTCCCTTTGACTTGCAAGTCTTCTGTTTATTGTGTCAGAACAGCCTTTCCTGCAATCTAGAGAATATACCTCTGAAGAGCTGGGTCAAAAACTTTTCCTATTTTGACTGCCTTCAGCATTCATCTCTGCTGTATGCATGCCAGTCTTTGCGCATTAAAATGATTAGCAAGCCAAGGACAAGAAGTGCAACATAAGAGATTGCAGTGTTTAATCCTTCTGTGCTATTAGTTTGGATTTCCCTCTCCGTGACTTAAGTATTTTTCCTCCGAAACTGTTATGATTTGCAACAATGCTCACGATCTTCCTTTGCTTTATGCTGCTTGTCTCTTTCATGATATGATTTCATGTTGGATCCTTTTTGATTTGTTCCCACCATTCAGCTCGTCGCTCCCAGCTCAGTCCTCTGGACAGTAGCGTAATCAGTCGCCTGCTCGCCCCCACACAGGCCTCTTTAGCTAGGAGTAAAAGTGCTGCTACGTTATCGGCTGATGGACAAGATCCCTCAGGTAACAGGAGGGCAGCAAAGCCTGAAAGTTTTATGCAGTTGCTCTTCAAGCAAGAACTTACACGATAGTTGCTAACTGTGCTACACTTCAGTATGAATCAGACACTTAATATATGGTTATGTGTAATATTACTTATCCAGTATAATATTACTTATCCAGTATTTTCTTTGGTCAGTAATAACCAATTCCTATGCAGCATTGCATGTTTACTGTACAAAACCATGGAATAATACTGGCTTTTAAACTCCAGTGCCAGTTTACGTGCTCTGCAGAGAACCAGATGCTGGAATTCGTTTGGGGGTTTGTTTGTGGGGTTTTTTTTTAACTGACAGAGACCTGCCTTTGGGTGTACCCTCGAATGAATCTGAGACTTAATGGTCAGAGAACAGTGCTAGGAAACGAAAGGGAAAAAACAAACATATAATTTCAAAGGAGGCTGAAAGGTATAAGTGCAAAGCCTAAATTTCTTTAGCGGTAGAAACTCTTGTAGGAACGTGACAAAAGGGGTTCTCTTAATGTAAGTTCAGGGAGCCCTGAGCGGGCTTCGCTCAGGCTGGTTGTAGAACTAGAGGCATACTAGAAGGAGAAGGGGTTGCAGAGGAACCCTGGCTGGCGCAAGCAATTTTGTATTGGTCCAGACTGAGCTGATAAGCCCACACTGTGGCTGAACTTGGTACTAGCGCAGGAATCTCTGCACTGTGGGCAAGCCCTGGCTGCGTCCCACGTGTCTTGTTACTGGTTGTAGGAATGCCCCAGTAAATGCATATCTGGAACCAATGTGGAGTCCTTTCTCCTCTCTTACCTTACAACTTGTGTTCCCAGTTTTGCTTGTTTCCTCTTAAGTATGTTCTTCCATCTTTATTTTTTTATCTTATGCCACTTCACTTGGTCCTTGTTGGTAATGATGACATTTCTACACTGCTCCCCTTGCATAATAATCAGTTTTACTTTTTTTGGTTTGTAGTCATCGGTCACATTTTTGCACACCTATCTGTGTGCCACTTTTATTTTACCACCAATATTTCTGCTCATGTTACGTGGGGAAATACCATCTTTTTCACTGTTACTGACAGCATGGGATTTATTCACTATTGCTGAATTAAAGATAGCTTTTACATTTTTATCAGTTTACTTAAAGGTACTTTCTTCATTTCAGTAGAAACGTACCTGTGCTTTAGTACAAACTAAGCACAAACAGAATGCAGTTCTTGCACAAATGCTGTAAATATAAAAATAAAATGTATTTTCCATAAAGTTACAAAATTAAGTGCTGGCATCTGTCACAATTATTCAGACTATCGAAAAATCCAGTATGTAGTCTCAGAAGTAGATTTCTGCATCTCTGTATGCTTGTCCATCTATGATTATGTTAGTGAAAGAAGTAATTAGAAGATACAGTTCCTTTCAATATCTTATGTGTGAAAAGATTGACATTTAAGGTAGGAAAGCTATTTTAGTTTAACAGTTGACCTTTTTCTCTTGAAAGGTTACTTGTACACCACCTGTTTTCATTTTTTAAGGTGGATAAAGGGCACACGTATATAGTAATAAAGAGGTCAGAGAAGGAAAGTAGAATAAAACAATGTTGCACAAATGCTTATTTCACAAGAAAAATTTGTAAAGTAATGCTCAGATTCCTAACGTAATGCTGCTTTATAACTACTCTATGAAAAGAAGGAAGATTTCCTCCTTGAGTATGGGGGAAACATGCTTTTGCCTTTGAACCTGTCATGAAGAACTTGAAAGATGCTAAGCCATTAAAACTGAAGTATTTGTGAGTAGATGCAGCTTGACTGAAATTAAAGTAATACTGGTGTACTGCAAGTTTAGATTTTGTTTGGAAAAGCATTTTATTTTTATCTACTACTGACTGCTGCTTTCAAAGCGGTTTTGTTCTTGGTGCTGTTGCTTCCAAAGTACTAATCGTGTGGTGGTGGTGTCTGTGTCTGTGACCCACTGCAGCGTGCAGCGCCTGTGGTGTTTCTCTGTACGGTTTCTAACACACACAATCTTTCTTTCTCTCTTTCTCCCTCTTCCTTTTCTCCTTTTCTTATGCTGTGCACTTGGTTCTCGTTTTGTCTTGTCAAATTCCTAACTTTTATAGAATCTCACCTCTGTCCTCGTTCAGCTTCAGCCAGTTCCATCAGTTCCCCAGTCCCAGCTCCTAAAGTGCCCGTGCGCAGTCGTAGCATCGACAGATTGAAGTCCTCTGTATCTTCATCTGATGCAAGTTCACCAGATTCAACCCAGGTTTGTTGAAAATCCACAGGAACTAGGTTTGTATTAATCTGGGGGTTTCAAACAGCTCAGGAGGGGATCCTATTTCGGCAGTTTGCTTGCTTATTGAAATGTTCAATAGCATTTGCTTAAAAACCACGGTGTTGAAATCAAATTGTAATTTTATGGTCCTTGATCTCTCTGGTATCTCAGAGGCCTGCTGTTTGCTGCTTATGATTCCCAAAGTTTAATTTAGGTAACACATTGACTGGGTCTATGTTTCGGAACATAAAGGAAATGTACATATTGTTGGGAAGTTGTATGTTTTCTGTGGTAGCAGCTCCTCTGTCTGTAATGTATTGTAGAGAGTGAGCATTATTTTGTTTTTATGTATCGTCTTAGAAATCAGAGACGGAAAAACCATCCCCAGGTTCTGGGCTAAGACGTCCTCCCTCGCCATCTGTGTCTGCCCGTAGAAGATCCCCTTCTCCTGCTAATTTGGTGAAGCGTCCTCCGTCACCTTCTACAGTTAGGTATGTGTCCAGGTTAAATATCTTCTTGGGAAGAAAACGAAGGATGCTTCCTGCCTCAGACAGCTGTGCTGTTAGCATTTGCATGACCTACACTATGTCGTGCTTATACACATGAGGACTTTGCTTTTGGTCCAATTTCATTTTCCGTAGTAGGGATTCAGCTCTTACTTGAACCTTTGTCTCTTTTGTGTACACAAAATACACCCTGGGTTTCTGTGTGGTCTGGGCACTAAAACCAACAGGGAGCACGCGAACTTCTGAATAAGCTGATCAACCTGTGTTAGTGTAGGAATTTTCTTGGATTGGAATCACAGGGTTCATCCTTGACGTGGAGTAAATTGGAGGTCTGGGCTAGCAAACCTGGTTTGATGTTAGCCCACAAGTAGCGAGTCCCTGGTGCCCAGGGTATTTTTGAATCCTGTGTTTGATTTTTATGAGGAAGGCACCAGTAGTTTGTGGGTGGATTTATTTTTAAAAGTGAGGTGCGTAATGTAAACTAACCAAAGTAGACTGCTGTCCTCACTTGCGTGTTTGAGGTTTTCAGTGTTAGCCCTGAAAAATATTCTTTATTTCAACAGACAAAAGACTCGCCCACCTTCGCCTAGCATGTCAAAACAAAGGCCACCATCTCCTACTCCAGTCTCTAAACCGGCACCCATCCAACGTCCACCTCTGACGCCAGGTGTTATAAATATTACCAAAAAGAAAACTGAAGCAGAGAGCAAACCAAAGGATAAGAGCACAGAGGGAACAGGACAAGAGCAAGGTGCTTCACCGGCCTTGGACAGGGACGCGGTAGCAGCTAGCACAAAGACCAAAGAAGGTGAGTGTTTCTCAGTGACTGATGCACTCTTATTCAAGACATCTCCAGTGTGCGCTAGGGCTGGTGAAATAATTTGTTCATGAGGTGAACCACTGGAGGATAGGATGCTTTAAGGCAGAAGCTGTTCATTGCTGATTAGTTATACGGTAATGTTATGTGGTTGACTTTTGGATGTGGATTTTAGTGCAGTAGTCAGTTTATTTGACTTGGAGATTTATGTCAGGAGCTTTCAATATTATTTCTTGTACTATAATTTTAAGAAAAGCAGAAATCCTATTTGCCTTTTGGACTTCAGCCATACTAGCTGAGGGATCTGCTAGCTTAGGTTTACAAAGTCAATAGTTAAACTATGCAGAGGTCGTTCAGTCCAGTTGGTAGTTCTTAAAATTGCTTGTGTAGAGACCTGCTAGGAGGAAGAAAACAGCTACTGGTTCATGACAGACTGAGAGCCAGTTTTCACGAAGCTGGAAGACTGCCTTAGTCTCGATTCCAGTGAATGCATAATCATTGCTGCCTCTGGAAGAAGTGGTCAGTGGATGGATCACGCTGACAAATGATCGTGGTAGATTAAGGAGAGCCATATACTGGATAAGCAATAGGTCTCCTAGTCCTCTTCTCTGCCAAGTAAGCACAGCCTCTGTCCCTCTTACTGGAAGAATGCTATCGGCCATCTCCAGAACAGAATCTGGGAGAGCCTTCTGATGAGGTCTGGCAGGCACTTCTCTGTGGAGAAGGACTTAGGAGAGACTTAACAGGAAAAGGAGGGCTCTCTGGAGTTTAAACCGCAGCCAGTGGGCAGTACTGGGGGTGAAAATCCTTCAGACACAAGGTAAGTGGGAACATATGCTTGCTGCACGTTACTGCATGTACAGTTCCTGTTGTGCATTCCTCAGCTCCTGCAGTTGCCTGTGATTTCTGAGACTCTTACAGACACTGCTCAGCGTTGGATGTGAAATAGTGTTGCCTGAAGAACTCGTTTATGGTACAGTTCTTTGAGCATATGTTCCTCTAGAAGGAAGCTTGGATGTCGTAGTCAAATGTGGATGTTTGTATGAAGCTGCACATCCGTCTTCAGTGTCACATCATTCATCTTAGCAGCCAGAGTGTCCATCCCTTGATGTGCTACATTACTGTGATAAATGTTTTGCGTGCCTCAGAGGGGGCATAATCAATTGTGATCAATGTAGTTGGTTGGTTGAAACCTCCATAACAATGTGCCCTATTTCTGTATCTTCCAGTTGTTCTGGAACAAGGACGCCTGTCCTTGTTCCTTGGATGCCCCACCTGTCTCCTCTCCACACTGACTTCTGGAACTGTATTAACCCAGTTTATCTGTTTCTATTTTATTTTATGGCTGATCTCCAAGCTAGTCATCTTTGTAGTGATTCATACAGGGGCTGTGTGAAGCTCTTTTTCTTTGACACATACAAGATAAGGAAATAGTGGGCTAGTTCTTCAACTTAGAGATGACTTAATTTATCTCTTTGAATGTTTTGGGTCACTGCGATATTGCTAAGTGAGGCAAAAATCTTTGTTCTTAAAAAGAAAAAGTTGCTTGCCGTTTTCATTTTGTATGTCTGTGTAGGCAGTTCACCCTGTGGGTTGGTGCAATACCATATTCCAGACAGCTTCTGAAGTCAGAGCACACCAGTGAATGGCATGTGGCAAATCCATCTCTAGGTCTTGTAGGTTCAACCTAATTTCAGCTTTGTGTGCTTGTATCGTCATACCATCTCTTCTCCTTCAAGCTAAACTTGATTGCCTCTTGCTGACAGACAGCAATCAAGTCTTTGTCTTTTTTGTGTCTTCCTGCTAAAATATACTGTTCTGCAGTAAAACACTTTCTATTTTTCAGTGACTTGGAGCAGTTGTCATTTCTGGCAGCAGCCTTTCGCAGCTTCTCTGAGAGTTAAAAGGCTTGTTTCAACTTAAAGCATAAGAAGTGCTCCTTCATGAGCTCTCACCTTATGCATGATGATAGGTAATAAAACTATCACGGAGCCTCGCTTTTTTGTATCTGGGTAGTGAAGGCTTTGGAATGTGATTGCTAGATTAATTGTGAATAAATAACTTGCTTTGAAATGTGTTGAAATCTTCCCTCCACCCAACTAATACTGCAACACAAGCATGTTTGTGTTCTTGCTGTCAGACTAGAAAGTAACAGTCCAGTAAGGAACTGACACCAGCTCTCCTCACATAGCAGATCTGTGTAATATTCGTCTCTATCTTCTGAAAAAAACAGATAGATTAATGGGAGAAAAGGAGGAGGTTCAACTTCCACCTCTTCACAAGTTGCAGATCTTCTGCACCCTTCCTACTCAGTTGGCAACCAAATATTGCTGAAGAAGAACTGCCTAAAGGCAGTCTGTTTTCCTGGTGGCTGCAAGTATCTTAATTGTGCCTCTTTGCTCTTAAACCACAGGCTAGAATTAAGTAAGGTCAACAGATCAGCTCTCAGTCCTGTAGATGCATTTTACAGTTGTTCTGAGACATTTCTCTCGCCTGTTTCCTTCTTTACCCTTCATCACAAAAAGGTCCTTTGCGAAAAAGACTGTTCTTATCAGGAATGACAGTGGGAATGCACAGAAAATGGAGCAGAGTATAAAATGCTGGAAGAATCTTCTTAAGGCGTGTTAGCAATCATGTTGGCAAGTCTCATGTCCTGCCCTATGGAAGTAGACTGTACAAGGGCTGCGTGGAGATAAAAGCACTATTGAAGTAACCATATGAAAAATATCAGTAACGCTTCAAAAGTGAAAATGCAGTGAGAAGGTCCCCCATAGACTTGAGGTCTCCTACCCTCTCTTTTGTTTTTTACGCCCCCTGTTCTTTCTATATCTGCTGTGTTCTGAGTCGTTATGACTAATTTTCTAATTTTTGTTTTTGATACCGGATATTCATCATATTTCAAGGTATTGTTACGACGCTATAACCCTAAAACCTATAACCTAAAAGCCTAAACCCTTCAGCCTTCATGCTGAGGATTAAGTTGTCTTATTTAGGCTCAATTTCGAGGGGGGAAAATAGGTTAACCCTGACATTAAATGTCAACCAATTTTGATATGACTGAAGTTCCGGTAGTGTTAAAATAGCACTGCTGCGTTGGGTGCTGTGCAAGTGCACAATAGAAGATGACCTCTGCTGTAAGAAGTGGCAAGACACTCGAGTGGTAGAGGAGAAGAGAGGCAATTTGATTACTTCATGATTGTATACAAGCAACAGTAAATGAAACCTCCCACCTTATCATTAAATTAAAAAAAAAAAGTTGCAGAATATAGGAAGAAAAGTAGTTAGTACACGCTAGTCTCAAGTAGGCAGATCCTTCTGATGGCTCTTATAACTGCAGAGGACTGATCTTTCCTGCTCAGAGATGAGCAGGAAAACCCTTTTGGACTGAGTTCAGATTTGGAAGTGTTCTGTTTGTTTGTACCAACATGACTGCGTTTTTGCCCAAATCAGAAGCAATGTGTGTCCTGAGGAGGTGCTGCTTTTTCAGCGTTGGATAAATCTAAATTTTAGGAAACTTCTCTGTGACTGCACTACATGTGTTGGAATGCTTTTCCTTGGACTGCAAGAACAATTTTTATGCACAAAACACTGCCGCAGTACAGCTGCTATGGGTGTTACTCTGTGTAATTATGCCCTACAGCTGCAGGTAGTGGTTATGTGTCCACGGGGCTTAAGCAGCTTTTCAGGTATTAAAGTTCCTAATGATGGCATTGCATTTTGAATGATTTGTCTTTAGGTCAGAAGCAAAATAACTGATGAAACCCTGATGTCATTGTTCATGAAAATTGCCTTGCCTTGAAGGCTTTAGGAGTGTTAAGCAAACATATATGTGCTGCTTTTTGAAATACTAAAAAGAAGAAAGGCAGGTGCTCACCTACATTATGATGCTGTTGCTCTGCTGACACAGAGAGCTAATTCTCTGAAGATTCGGATGATCAGTTCTTTAACCACATTCAAACAGTAATATTTCTAGAGAGTGGGAGTAAGTGATAAAAGTCAGAGTTCTTTCAATATATATTGAGAGAACTGGATGGCAAGGGTGGTTTTTTTTCTAATGTTAATTTATAATTTACATAAATCATAGTAAATATATAAAAAATTTACAATATGTGATTTGTAATACCTCTGACCATAACACCAGGCAGGATGTGAAGAAACATAAACTGCAGGGCTGTACAAACTTCTACTAACCTGGTGGATGGAGCTGTTCTGATCTCCATGAAGACTGGAAAATGATTTATTGCTAAAATGTGTAGAAATATGGTATTACTGAAGTCATTAATATGTGCCTTCAGGGCCAGATAACGTGGTGATTATTTGCACCCTAAGATACTCTATAAATATAAAAGCGTAAATGTTAATATTATGAAACAAGAGAAATCAAAAAAATTAGTATTTCCTCTTTAGGGTTATGTGTGTTCAGTGTTATTAGAAGGAAGTTAAGTGTGTTTCCTAAAGTGGTATATTTTCAGTTTTCTTTCAGTGTCTTCAAGTGTTATAGAATAAAGGTGTCTTTTTAGAAATATCTTTCTAAGTAATATGGTAATTGGAGAATACCTTTAACTGGATCATCCTGAATATGACTGGATCAGTGTAGCTGAAATGAGTTGCTATTAGTTCAGTGTGATACTGTAGCTCTGCATCTCTTCAGGACTGCCCTTTGGCTCTTGTGGGCCTTTAAATACAGGGTATACCTGCTGAGTGACGAGCACTGATGGAAAAGATAGTAGATCAGTTGGCCAAAAGAAAAATCTTATCTCACAGTGATAATGTTTGTCTTAATTATAAGTTACTGACACTCTTTAACAGCAGTTTCTTTTAACCTTTGCAGAATCGGGTAGCAAAACAGTAGCAGGGACCACCACAGCTGAAGAAGCTGCTAAAATCTTGGCAGAGAAACGACGGCTAGCTCGGGAGCAAAGAGAGCGTGAAGACCAAGAAAGAATTCAGAGACAAGAAGAGGAAAGGTAACAATTCGGGAGAAGGAAGGGATGTTTTCAGTGGTGGGGTGTGGTTGGAGTGAACACTTCAGCTGTATGTGTTACCTAAGCGTTAATTTAAGATCCTGTAAATCTTAATGCGGTTCCTGAAGCAGAGAGACAGGCACTAGATGGGACAGGCTGCTGTACGTATCGTTAACCTGCATCTCAGTATATGATGTGTGGTCCCTGTGCAAATCACTGCTGCTTCTTCCTTCCAGTCACTACTGGTATGTTTATTTCAAAACTAGAATGTGCTTTTTACACCACTTGTATTTGTTTTGTTGTCTTGAAATAGTCAACTTCTCTCTGTTGAACTTTCCTTTGATGAACTCAGGGAGTGGTTTGATGCTACATGAAATCTCACGTTAGGGATTCTAAATCTGCATCAGAAATGTTGCAGCCAAGTAATTTGAAGCGATAAATCGGTATGCATTTGGTTCACTGCATAGAAGTTGTTAAAAATAACTAACTTTATTCTTGATAAGGGGTCACCTGTCTGTGCTTCTGGGAACATTACAGAACATTAGATTTTGTCTGTTTTCCGCTCATGGGTATAAAGTGTCATAAACTTGCATGTAGTCTGCTACAGATGTTTTGTCAGAAATATGATGTCATCAGATCGGTTGTGTACGTCTGCATGATTTGACTGTACACCTCCAGTATATCTGGAATTTAGATTACAGAAGAAAGTCTTTTAGCAAATTCAACTAAATTTATGTTTGACAGTGATGGAAGGCTTCATTCACACTGTGGATGCAGGTGGTATGTATTAAATAGTTGTGACTTAACCCAGTTCTCAGTCAAACATTCCATTATTGGAGCAACCTGCCCTGGCCTTGACTTAATCAACAAAGAACATTCATGTACTCATAGATAGTTTCTTCTAGTTAGTTCCCCTGCTTTTTCCTTTGATGGGTCTGGGTGGCGGCATCTGTCAATCCACACCAGACATTATCTTTACACAGTTATTCTGTGGCTGGATCACTTAGAACTTTCTTGCTTTCCTATTCTGTCTCATGTGCATGCACACTTTTAAAGAAATAAATACCCAGTTGGTAATCTGTATCTTGGAAACACTAGAATCAGAGAAGAACAAATGGCCAAGAGAGCAATTGAGGAAAAAGTACAACAGGAGGAGGAGCTCCGCAAACAGGAGGAAGAAAAGCGACTGGCTTATGAAGAACAACAAAGACAAGCTGAAGAGGAGCGAATGCGCCGAGAGCAGGAAGAGCAGGAAAAACTTGCAGAGCTTCAACACCAGGTCCGCTTATCTGTAGGCGCCAACTGTGTTCCTCATACAAGCTGCGGGCGTGTTTTCGAGGGGGTTGACTTTGATTTTCTTTCAGAGAGCGTTTTGATGTAAAGCAGAGTTCATCCTGTCTGAGATGGATTTGAGAATGTCTTGAAGGCCTTCCCTCGCCCTAGTCTATGTGATTTATTTTTTTTGTTTGGGTTTTTTTTTTTTTTCAACAGTTGATAAATTCAAGTGTGGGGCAGAAGCAGGATTTCTTTCTTAGCCATCTGGGATGCTATTTTGCATACGTAAAATATTTGTACTGAGCCCACTTTACCAGCTTACTGCTACAGATTATAAGGAGGTGGTCTGTCTGGAAAGTCACCTGGCTTGTTCTGACTCCTGTAAAAGAAAGATGGGTAGTGTTTCTAAGCCTGCTTTTCCGGTTGCTAGATAGTCTTCCACAGCTAATACCTGTGTACCGCTACAAAGGCATCCTTGTAACTGAAGGGAGCTGTTTTGCAGCCAGTGGACTTTCTTTAAATGACGTTAATTTTGAAAATTAGAGCAGTTTTACAATGAACTTCTTTGTGCTTGAAGAGCTGTGTCTTCTGGATAGTATTGACATGTGTCTGAACATTTATTTAAAAGCTTGTTTAAGTTTATAACAATTATTCAAAGTGTTAACTAGGCTTCTATCTTATTTCCAGTCATACTGGAAAAGATTTTCCAGTGTAGAAGGAATGGAAGATGCTCAGCACCAAGTATCTTTGTAGTAATATCTGACTGCCAAGATTTTAATATTAATCTTGCCACACCTAGAGTTTAATTGCTGCCTTGCAACTTTAAAATTTATCCCTCTTAGACAAAACTTAACCCTGAAATATAGTTTGAACCCTGCGTAACTCAACAACATCCAGAACACTTGCATAATCACAATATAGCCACACACATAATTTTGCTTTTCAGATCAGTTCCTGAATGTCATAGTACTATATATTTCACGTCAGTAGCTGGGTTTTGGCATTTAGCTACAATGTTTGGTAATATTAAACAGTGATTGTCCGATGTTCCTGTCGGTGTTGAACCCGAATTTCTGTAACAGCTCTGCTTTTGGCTCTTGGGAATGAGTTATGCACTGGCTGCTCTCTGCTTTCTGTTTTATTTTCAGAAAGAAGAAGCTGAAGCAAAAGCTCAAGAAGAGGCTGAAAGACAGCGGCTGGAAAGAGAGAGAATTATGCAGCAAAACATGCAGGAAAGGCTGGAAAGAAGAAAGGTATGCTGTTTTGAAAGCAGAGAATTTTCTCAGCCTAAAATAGTGGTTGAGGTGTTAAACTGAACAGATGAACAGTCTCAGATGCATTTAAATAGTAGTGTATTCTTTTAAAAGAGCCAACTCTGGCTTGTGAGCTTTAAAAATGGTGAAAACAGTAGTAAATTTATTAAATAGGAAAATATAGTATAGTATAACTGATGAAAATTTAAACCAGAATGCTGAAATATAAATCTCTGAATGTCATTGTAAATATTTTCCCTGTTTTAACAGAGAATTGAAGAAATAATGAAAAGAACACGAAAATCGGATCAAAACGAATCCAAGGTACTTGTTTGGATCTGTGTAATGACAGAACAGGCCCTCCCAGAGAAGGCTGTGCCTGGTATCCTCTCTTCCTCTGCTGTCCCCACACAAACTGCCTTCCACATGAAGTGGAAGTTCTGGTGCACCAGAATAATTTTCAGTAGCTTCCCATTGCACACATTCTTCTGCTTACCTTGTTCTCGCCAAAAGTCTTTGCTGCATTTTTGTTCAAGGCATAGAGAAACAATGTGATCTGGCATTATTGTTTGCAGATTGGTTAAAAAAAGCACTGGTTAGCAATGGCTTTTTTCTTTTAATAATTGTATGCATTCTGCTGGGGCTATTTTTCCCCAGAAAATGAAAATTCCTGGCTTCTTTTGCTTGCGTAAAGTAAATCTTGGATGCCCCTTGGATTGCTACAGTAAACTGGGTATATTTTTGTTAATGCAGTGACCTAAGGGTTGTGGTAAATTATGTGTATTATCTTGAGGAGTAGTAGTTCTTCTCTGAATGTTCAAAAACCCAAGTCTACATGTAGCTGAAAATCAATAAATATTTAGTACACACCTTGGAGAAATGAGGGGAAAGGGAACTCGGGAATAGTTCGTCGGCAGGAGATGGAAGTGGGTCCCACATGTTCCTTCACGGGCTCTGGCTCAGCAGAGCGTGTGTTGCTGGGTGACCTGATTGTGCGTTAGCCTCTGGACTAGTGTGGCCTCCGGGCTGGGCACGGAATAGTCCTGCGTGCGAGCTGTGATTGAACAGTTCGCGAAACACTGTATGGTAACGAGCTATTGTGAGTAACACTCCGGCGATTCAGTTGCAGAATGAAGGGAAGTCTGTCTCTGAGGCCATGGAGGGGGAAGATATTGAAGAGGAGGAAGAGTTGGGTCTTGAGAAGACTGATCAACCAGGTAAGGAAGCTCGATGAGTCAGGTCTAAGGGGCAGTCAGTGTCTCAGTGATGTTTAAGCATCACGTTTCAAATGTCAGTCACTTAATATTGTGGTGGTCTGAGACACAAGTCCCAGAAATGCCAGGGGGGCTCTCTGCTCGAACAGAGAGTTTATCATTGCCTCTTCCATACCACAGGAGACAATCAAAATGATTAAATGCAAAAATGATTTGAGAGTGGAATCCAGGCAGCACGCCTTCATTTTACAAGTGTACTTTTAAAGATGGAAAACAAATTTCATGTTGTTATAGGCAGCTTGTTTATAGAGAAATGAATCTATTGAAGCCAAGTGCCTCCAGTTTTGGCTAGGAAAGGTCATTTTGGCACTTGTGTTTTATTCATTTACAATAGCAATTCTGTTACTGAAGGGTTTTTTTCCTTCCCCCTCCTTATTTTTCTTGCTTTTTTTTCCCCCCCACTTTCAGGAAAGCTAAATGGCGTTGACTTACCCCAGGAAGTCAAGGGGGAGGCAGAGGGTTGTTCAGAGACTGTGCACAGCTTGATCCCTACAGACTCTGAGGAACACGGTGTGTCAGAGTTGAAGGCCGGCGAAGTATTTATGAATGGAGGCGATTTGAAAAGTGATGAGGGGTCTCTACTTGTTACTGAATTAAAAGATTCCAGGTGAGTCTGTGTAGGTGGCTGTTTTACGGTCAGAGCAGTTATCTGTTGCGCGAGAAATCCCTCTATGTTTAAACTAAATTTAGTGCTGTGTGTAGCGTTGCAGCATATTTTGCACCCCGCTAGCTTTGTGGTATTTCTCTGGCTTGCCGCAGGCATGTGGCGCGTGCACGCTGTCACTTTACTGCTTCACGCAGAGGGAGTTAGTTCAGGATAATTGTTTGTTTAGATGGCACCGCGTTAGCAGTACTGGCTTTGCTAAGAAGTGAGACACGTAGCCAGCAATGTGGCAGAGTTACTCAGAAAGAACGTTGGCTTGAAATCTTTTCCCTTGAAATGGCTGGCGGTTCTTCTCGTTAACAAAACGTTAAACAAGAGAGAGGGGGACTACACTGAAAAGGAAGAATAACCTACAGGAAGCTCTAAAACAGTTTCAGTTGTGCTGAAATAGCAGATATAATGCAAAAAGCTCCCTTGATGGGATTTTTTTTTTAGTATTTCAAATTTTATCTTTTTGAACATAAAGCATTTCCATCTACTACTGGAAAATCTGTCCTCTGATGCTTGTTCCCATTTGCTCATCTAAATGCTAATGATGTAGAAATGACATTGTGAACTTTTTTTTTTAAAGTGATGATAAATTTATTTTACTCCTCCAGTGATGGAATGAATATAAAGACTTTTTCGTGATTTTCTTAAGAATGAATGAAAATTAGTCACTCTGATTTGGGTTTAGAATTTGAATCTGTTTTAAGTATTGCTAGCCTTGTGAGGCTGTGTTGTGTTTTAGAAGCCTTAACTGGAGAAAAAAGGAAAAATGCACACTACTAAAATAGGGTTTTAATGGTGCAGGGCGTTAAACTTGTTGCTTTTTTACATCAAACTTTCTGGAGCCAGACCTTACCTGAGAGCTATTAGTATAGTAAAACGTAAGTGTGTGTTGGTGAGTCGTTCTTCCCCATTGGCTCTTGGAGGGGAGATCCCACTTGGCAGCTGGAGCAGCTTGTCTGGGAATGCCCTTCAGGATATTCAGTGCTTTGCAAAGTATGCGGACTGCTAATTGGCTCTCCTGTAATGAATCTAAAGGTTAAACATCCAGAAATTCTAATACAAGTGTCCATTCATTTTTTCTAGCCATCCTGCAAAAGAAATGGTTATCAGTGACTCAGTGAAGCTGGGTGTTAACGAAGCTGATCGTACAATTGGACTTACTCAGAATCTTAATGGAAAATCTGGTTCGTGGACTTTTGAGGAGTTTATTGACGTTGGAGTACATTCCAAGTCAACCAAACTGAGCTCGGACAGCATCTCCGCTGGTAACTGTAATCAAAACTTGAATGATGCTGCTACAATACCTTCTAGTCCCAAATTGGTTTTTGAGGAAGATGGTGCAGTGAATTCATTGACCAAACCTATAGATGCTTCATCAGGTAATCCAAGCTGATTTCCCTATCTGTCTCTTCCTCTGGCTAGGTAATTAACTTCCTTGCATTTTGCTCTCCTTTGCCTTAAGTTCAACTTCGTATTTTCAAGGCACTTTTTCCAATGTGTAGACTGGAGGGAAAGCTCTTCCTTTAGTGCTTGTAACTTGCATTCTGTCAAAAGGAGTCACCAACTGATGCCTCTTTAGGGACTTGCTCTAGACAGGAGCGAAGGCCTGACATTAATGCTCTTCCAAAGACACAGCTGGGCCCCCGTGAAGCTCCTGTATCTCCTACCAGCACTCAAGCCCATCTGTTGTATTTTTAGGCTTCTTCTGAGATGTCTTAAATGGCACGTGTTACTTTTGAAGATACTAACAGTTTAAAAGGTGTCTGATGTAACTCTACAGACAAGACCTTTCCGCTCCTAGGCATGTTCTGTAACTTTTTGATGCTGGCCTGCATGGTCTTGCAAGGGCTCTTCACGCAAGATATTAGCTGTTCTCTCTACTTACTGATGAATAGTCTTTCGCTTCACTTAGGGGGGTAACACCAACCTTAAATTCCACAGACGGTTGTGTTACATTTTGGGAGGAGTAATAAAGCTGCACACACAATATTCTGAAAGAAGCAGTGCTGCATCTGAAGCCACATGTACTTGAGAAGCTAAACCCTGATGCAGTACAGCGTAGCGTGTCAGAGAGGCTTCAGTAAGCTGGTTTACGTAAAACTAGACTTCTCTAGTGTTGGAGCTAAAGCCCAAATGGACATACTCACAGCAGGAGATCTCCTTCCGTGAGAGAAATGACTGCGTGAACAGTTGAAATGAACGGTAGTGGAAAAAACAAGACTTGCTATCCACATTTTCTTTAAGTCATGTGTAGCACTTTTTTTGATTAAAGTGTAGCACTTTCCTAGACTGAACTGTTTCCTGAGTCTCCTCTGTCACTCTGCGTCTTACGAATTTTAGTCCCGTGGGCATAGCCTTATTGAGAAGCCTTGAGGCCGTGGGAAACTTAATGTGATACTGCTGATTGCATTTTGTTCTGATCAAAACCATTAGCTTTTTGGTGAAGAAAGTGTTGCCTTTTAATTTTGAACACAAAAATGTTTAGAACGTAATATGGTTTAAGAATTATCTGCATATCTTTGAAAACTAACATTCATATATAAAAATTTTGGACCGTAAGTAACCAAGTGGTTCTGTGCTCGCTCCCTGGATGTAGACTGACAGTGATGATAGACGTATGTGGAATACACGCAGTTATGATGGTTAAATGTTTTCTTCTCTTTGCTCTCTGGACAGAACTGTGAACACTAGAGACCTGGAAATAAGCTGATTGCACTTCAGTAATCCAGTTTTATCAAGTACCGAAGGCCTTGTTTTGAAAAGCTGCTTGTTTACCTTTATCCATCTTCAAGTTTGCAAAAAAAAACAAAAAACACCAGGGGAGGGATGACAAACTTCTAGATTTGCACCTTGAAACATTTCAGGGAAATTTTGTGCTGATGTTCCTTTTCCATTCGTTTAGCTGATTGTTAGATAAGATTTCCTTGTTCAAGTATCACTTGTTTCCCTTTTACAGACTTTACAGTAACCTGTTTGAGTCTTTTTTTTTTTTTTTTTTTTTTTCCATTATTTTCATATCAGTATCATGTACAGCAAAGTGCCACTGGAGACTCCCCGGTCAGCTACTGGCCAGGTTTTGTGTATTCCTAAAAATGGCACTTGATGAAATAAAAGACTCATTCAGTGTGCGTTAAAGCTGAACTCCCTTTGTAATGTTCTAGAACAGCGCTGTTACTTGTTGGTTCATGTGCTATTTAAAAACTGCAAAACATAATATCTTCAATTTCAAATTGAGAAGAGAAATTCCTTATTTTCTAATGTGAAAATATTAGCGGTTTCAAAATGCAGTATTGTACCCTCGCTAATATGTTTTAATCTCTTGGCAAACATCAAAACATTTTACAGCGTGTGCACTAATATATTACAGAAATGTTGAGTACTTAGTTATGTCTGTCGTAGTGCAGTTTAACATGTCATGCTTTTAAAAATGTTTTCCTTTTGAGTTACTTATTTAAATTTATCTACACTCATGGAAGTATTATTTTATTGTGTACATAACAGTATTAGACCACTGAAGTCATGTTTTGTTCATGTTAATTATTCGAAGTGTTCCCATTCTCGCTTTATAACAGTGGCTGCAAGCTGCATATATATTTCCCTTCCCCTAAAGCCTGCATTAAGTAATCTATTTAACCTAAATTTGCCTGCTTTTTACAGCATGGAGAGATTAACTAAGCATCTTCTGAAAATTGCTACTAAAAGCAAAGTAGTAATGCAGCCTTGTTCTTAAGTCTCCTATAACAGATATACTGGCTAAGTGATCACTGTAAAGAACAGCTGTCTCGAATCCTGCTCTAACCACTGCCTGATACTTCTGTTCACCTGAATCATCCAAATGGCAGCTGTGCGTTCAGTGGTTAAATGCAAATGGGTTTTGCCGGAACTAACCTGTTCTTTCCTCGACATCACAGTTACAACAGGAAACCCTCAGCCTTCTTACTCGCACCGTTTGCTGTTCAGAATACGGTAGAACTGTTTTAGACTTTAGAGCAGTGCCTTAGGTAAAAGGAAAGATGTATTTTTGTATGATAGTTGTTTCATTCTGGCAGAGACAATCATTCTAACAAAAAAGATGCCGATATTTTTTTCTGTGCTGATAACTGTTTGTTGAATGATCTGTTACAGCTCTATGTAAATATGTGCACACTGTTAAATAAACTTCGCAGTTGAACAATGCTTTATTTCTGTAATGCTAAACGTTACCTTACCAGGAGTCGCCAACCCCTTGCCATGCTGACCTGCACGCTGGCACTGCTCTAACTACGCCACACTGCAGATTCCCCAAACCAGCGGCCTCTCTGGCAGTTGCGTTGGTGTGGTTGGGAAGGTATTTGTACTAACATCTTCAGATCTGGCTGCGTTTGTACGTGCTGATGATGTGTTCGTAACGGTTGAATTCTTTAACTTGCTTTTCAGCGTGAGCCTTTGCCTTTTACTTGTAGCACCAGCATCTTTATGTTCTAACGGTGGGTCTGGCGGTGCCCCATGGCCACAGGGGAGCAGTCACCATCAGGACGACAGCAAGATGCTGCCTTTTGTTTTTCTTGGGAGGGTTCTTTGTTTCTGGTAGGTGTGTTTGAATGAAAGGGAATGACTGGAGCAGCATCCAATCAGTAAATATTTCTGTAGGGTATCAACCATTGCTGTGGAAAGAAAAACCAACTTAAACCAACACTCGGGTTGCTGAAGGGTAGTGGTAGCTCTGTGTATGGACAGGGGCTGCACGTGTTCGCCAAAGGGCTTTTTCACACAGGCTCTTCTTGGATGGTCCGGCATCAGTTATATATTAAAAAAATTAGTTTATGGAAATTGTTGCTTTGATCCTCAGATATTGAAGGGTGTGATAACGAACAGGTGACTCTGCTTTGCCCCTCTCAGTGTATCAGACGTGATCTCAGTAGCTCAGAGGTGTCAATCGGGTAAGATGGCAAAAGGGAAACAACAGTTTTCCAGACTGCAGGACTCCAGGCAGGCACTAGTCTCAGTTTTATTAAATCATAAAACATACACTGACATGATATAGGAGAGCTATTGTTGTCTGAGCTATTTTTAAGGCACTTCTAAATGCATGTGCATTTTGTTGTAGTTGAAAGATTTACTTCTTGTTAATGGATTAATAACTGTATATAGACAGCCTCATTTAAATGATGATGTAAAAAAAGCTGATGAGCGAAACTTTGGGGCAAACCATGCAGCAGTCAAGGCTAAAGCAAGTTTATGGAAACTTAACTAAAGCTAAATCGTACTGCCAAAACATTGTTATATGTAAGATGAAGCCATTCCATACACTTGCTGCACTTTGGTGTCATAGGGTGAGCTGAAAGTGTTTATTATTGTGCTGCTGTTAATGATGTGTGATGTATGTAATGTACCTGTAATTGTAAAAGCATAGTAATGGATCTCTCTGATCCCAGGTGCAATCTTTGCATCTCTGTTTCCGAGGTGCATCCCTTGTCAAACCTATTTCACTTAAGTGCCAAGCTTAAACGTATACCAGACAAGTTTAAAACTAGCTTTGTTTTAGCTTTAAGCCACACGCCAGATTATGTAGTATGTGGATCTCTTATGCAAAGTCTAACGGCCTTTCAAGCCTTTGCACTAAGAGTTACTTGGAAGCAAAGTTAAATTTTTGCAAGGCTACATGCTTTTGTACTGCAGGAGCTTCAAAAGTCAAACCCAGTATGTTGAGGCTACTTTAGTTTTTATACTAAAATGGAAAAAAGTTAGAATTCATAACATGCAAAAACCTGCTCCTTTACCGGGACTGTTTTGGAAAGCAGGGCTCTAAAATCCATTTTACAGCAGTTGCTGTCTGCTCCTTACAGTCGTTTGGGACACTCAGCACAGTAAATTTTTCCATTATGGCAAACAAAGCGCTTGTTGGCCAGACCGCGGGCGCACTTTGTGCATTTGAAACAATAATCGTGCCAGGATTCATCTTCGTAGTTAACCACACTGGTTCCTCTTCCAAATCCTGCTAGGAGAGAAAACAATTATAGGACGGCGATAGTAGCTTTTCCCTCGGCTGGGGCAGCCCACCAAACAGCAGATCCCATTCTTACTGCCTCCCGTGCTGCTGGAGTCTTGCAGACCATGCCGAAAATAGTGGCCAAAATTGCTACTGAGCCACGTTGATTACTGCTCTTAGAGAAACGGGCAGCTGAGCGTAAGGCTGGTGTGGTTTGGCTCTGCAAGAAGCTGTTTCCCTTCAATCCTTTCTCTAGGAAACAGTCGAGCTGAAGGAAAGGTCAAGCTGTAGAGCAAGGACAGGTTGGGGCTAAACGCCCTGCCTGGCTGTTGGGGGCTCAGATCCGTGCTCTAAAATGCAGAATGGAGTCTGAGTCTCATGGGACTGGCAGGATAGTGCCCACGCGTCAGGGCTGAGCTGTCTCATCCAGTAACCGTGACACGTAAGTACATCAGAAGTGAAGCAAATGTCACTTCGGGGCAATAAAACCCTGCTCTTTTTAGACTTAAGATTCCCAGACTAAGGTATAGGTGGGAGCGGTTCTAGTTGGGGAAGTTTTGAAGGAGGTAGGATTTGAGCCATGCAAAGGGTGAAGAGCTCCATCCAGTAAGATAATTAGCTCCCACGTAAACTGCTGGGGTTGGGCTCGGGATAGGAGACTGCTTCTGTGTTAGCGCCCTCTGAGCTGCCTGTCTTTGGGGATCGCTGCACCCACCGCCCTTCGAGCTGCATTTAATCCAACATACCTGTAATAGGATTCTTGCAGCCGGCGCACTTCTTGGCAACACACTCCTTGTAGCATTCAACGCAGTAAAACTGATCCTCTACAGCTGTGAAGCGCTTCCCGCCCAGTTGCTTCTTGCAGTTGGAGCAAATGAAACACTCGGAATGCCAAGGCTGCTCCTGGTAAGTGAGGCCTCCAGAAGTGATGGGCTGTAGGAGGCAAAGAGCGGAGGTGTGTTTCAGAAGCGGGAGGGAGGAAGAGAGGCGACGCAGGCATGGGGTGGGGGGCAGGAGGGCTTTGGCACGGAGAAGATGTCTTGGAAGTCTTCATCAAAATTAAAATCAAGTAGTGCGGTGCACTTGAGTTCCTCTAGCCTGAAATCCTGCACGCCTGGAGCTTTTGTAATGGTTTTACCTGCAGTGACTGCAATTCTACATTAAGCAGTTGCAAGGGTTTTAAAGCAGCTATGTCATAAAGCATTGTTGTACTGCTTGAATACACAATGCCTCCTAGAGAGCTTAGACCCTCCCCAAAGCAAGTGCGAGGCCAGTGCCCGCTTGGTTTCAGCAGCGTTGCTGTCAGATAACCCTACAGCCCCTCCTTGGACACCATCACGTGCAAGAACCATTAGCTCTCTCCCGTTATTACACCCCCAAGGTGTAATCTGTATCTCGAGGAAAGAATGTGAGCATTAGCACAGCTCCAGCACGACCTGTCTACTGGTCAGCTCTCCCAGTTTCCAAAAGCCACGCGAGGGCTAGTTCTGGCAGCTGGAAGGACTTACGTTCTTGCATTTAGCACAGGTCTTGGCAAACTTATGCTCGTGGCAGGAGACGCAGTAGAAGTCGTCGCCCTTGGGGAAGAAGCTCCCGGATCCAATCACTTGCTTGCACTGGCTGCAAGTGAAACAGTCCTTGTGCCACACCATCTTCTTGTACTCAACGTTTTGGTCTCCTACAACGGAGAGAAATAACATGTTAGGTGGGATTTCAGGCTTGTGACAAACTCCCCACCCCGGGCAATGTCACACGCCTGTAGGCAAGACCTGTCCCTGCCTTTGCCCGGCACTTCACTTGTAACGTGGGCAAGGGACGAGCCGTTAACTTCTGTGTCTCACTTCAGCCAGGGCATTCTATTTCTTAAAATATTTGTCAGCTGGGTGCCTGAGCCTTTCTGCGAAGAGGACCTTGATTTACAGAGCAAAGCTTTTTTTGGTAGAAATGGTTTAAGACTGCCTCCTAGGGTGAGCTATCCACATGAGGGTTAGCTGCGAAGCAGCCTTCCAACCCTTGAATTAAATGGACAGGCGAGAGCAACAGTCAAAACCTGTGCCATTTGGTGGTTCTCCAGCCTCCCACTGTGATGCCCATACCCCGACCACAGCCTCCGCAGCTCCACAAACCGCCGCGGCTTTGCCCGAGAGCAGAACGTGGCCGTTGCACCCCTTTCGCTGCCACCCGTACCTGCAATAATAGGCTTGAAGCAGCCCTTACACCTGGGAGCATCCTCGGTGGCAGTGCAGTTGCTACACCAAACCTTGTTGTTCTCCCTTAGCATGAAGGGCTCATTGACCAGGGACGTGTAGCACTTGAAGCAGCGGAAGCAGTTGTCGTGCCAGTAGCGGTTCTTGAAATGCAGCTCCTGGAACGAACAGAAATGGGGTGAGCAATAAGCCCTTCTCTTGCTGAGCAGCTCTAAAGCTGAGGTACCGGTTGTGCAGCCTCGGCAGAGAAGGACAGACTCCTTCGTTCCCGAGCGTCTCTGCGTTGGGAGGTGCAGCTCAGCTGCAAGAGGTTAAGGGAAGGACATTTAACCCAACTCACTGACACCATCACGTTCGCTTTGGGCTTTCAGGATAGCAGCGGGTGCTTCAAACCAACAGCTTTGAGATTTGAAGTTCTGCAAGCGTGGGCTGCTTCGGTTGTGATGTTCCCTCTGGTTCAGGTGTGCGTTATTATTGCCATAAACACGGAGCAATAAACATTTGCCGCAATGACAAAACTCAGACCCTGAGCGCTTTGCCCAGGAGATGAGTTCTCTGCGAGTCCTGTGCAGGCTGGGTTACCTGCAGGACTCTCTTTGGGACAATTTGGCATTTGCAGGAGCTCACGTGGCTGAATCTAGATCCTGAAATCAGCTCCCACGCATAAGCAGCCCATGGCGAGCGTCCCTGCTGCAGGGCCCCCAAGCCCCTGGCTCCTTGCCCGAGGAGCACGTGGCCCATCAGCCAGAGGACTCGCGAGAGAACTTGATTTTCACACAGAAGCTCGTAAACAGACCAGAGCCAGGAAAACAGGCGGGAGGGTTATCAGCGTCTGCCCCTCTTCTTCTCGTCACCCATTTAACCGCTCGGCGCTCACCTTGGAGTCGGCTCCGATGGGTTTCTTGCACTCGGTGCAGGTGTTGGCACAGAACTTCTCGAAGCACTTGACGCAGCAGTGGCGGCCCTCCTTCTGCACGTACTTCTTTCCTTGGAGCGCGTCGCGGCAGTAGTGGCAGTCAAAGCGCTCCGACATGGTGCCCACGGTGTAACTGCCGGGCCCTGCGAGAGGAAGGAGGACCGAGTTACAGCCTTGATGACCGCTCCAGCTTCTTGGGTCTGTGCGAATACGGAATATCAGGAAGACGGCTCCGCAACGAGCACATGGTGGTGCCACTCTCCTCCAGGGCTTGTTGGTAGAGAAAGCAGCTTCTATGCCAGAACCGTTAACGCAATTTTTCTGTCAGGCAGCTCAAGGGTTTATAAAACACGATCACACCGGCATTTGCCTCCAGCATTGCCTTCAGGGTGTCGGTTCATCTCGGGGAAGTGGGGTGCAGCAGACAACGGGGGTTTGCTCCCAGCAGTCACAAAACTCATACAGGAGGCAGCTTGGATGTCCCCTCCCGGGTCACAAACTGCCACGGGGACGCAGAGAAATACCCCAAACTCTCAGAAAAACGCGGGCTACGGAGTAAGGCCACGCGGGCCGACTCCTGGCCGTGCCGCGGAGCTCGGCAAGCTCAGGGGCTGCCCTGCCTGCTGGAAGCCTTCTGCTCGCCGCTGTGCTTCGCCCGAGCAATGCATTAGTAACACAAATATTTGCAGTCCCCTCAACAGCCATCCAAGATGTGGACGCTAGAATTCTGCCTGCAGAGAGGCGGGGTGGGCTCCGGCCAAGCACAAAACCGCAGCGCTCTGGGGCCCGACCCGCCGCGAGCTCAGGAGAGCAGCGTCCCACACCAGCCCTTCCCCATCACCTTCTTAACAGGAAGGCCACTGGACTGCTTTATTTACATATTTCATGTCAAGCGAGGATGCCGATACCTAAATCGCTGACTGAGAGCCACTTCGCTCCTTACGGCCGGGCCCTGGCGGAGGCTCCGCATCATTTGTGCGCAGAAACAGCCGCCCACCATGAGCAGAGCAGAAGTTTCCAGCCTCTGCCTGCAGCCAGCTCCAGCCCCCCCAGGCCTTTTGCACGGGATAGTTGTGCAGCTGCCAGCTGCCTCTTTCACCGGGCTTTTCACATAGAAAGTGATGAGGGGGAAAAAAAAAAAAAAGGCAAGAAAAGATCTCCCTACATGTAAAGAAGTTTCTTCAGTTCACGCCAGCAGGGCTCTGCCAAGGCACGGAATTCCAGGGAACCAGCACATCAGCAGGGCTGGTGGCTCTTGACCAGAGGATTTTCTGCTTTGGCCAGAGGTGCGCACTCACGCTTTGTCCCCAGACATGTGTCCCCTGCCTGCACGCCCGGTCTCAGCGTCCCACACCACCCCTGCTAATGGCTCCCTCCATCTCCCCAACAACGCCCATCCTCACAGGAGGCCATCAACACCCCTGCGAGAAGGCTGCAAGTGCTCGGGCAGGGTGACACGGGTCCACGCGGACCCAGACATCACGGCCAACAACCCGGCACGCAGCCTTGAACTTTTCTGCTGGACAGGAGAGATGTCTGGCAACAGAGGACACCAAGTTTAATTATCCTTTTCCTGGTAGAGCTGCAGCACCAGCACGGAGGAGGAAAGGGAGAGGGACGCGATCTGGCAAATCGCTGCTGCTTCCTGCTGTGAGGTGGAGGAGGCCGTTAGCGCCTCCATTGCATGGCCTCACCTCCGACCACCCCACCGAGCCCCGGAATTGAGGGGCTGCTTTGCTGCCTGCTCCCGATGGAGCTCAGGAGCATAACTGCCGCCCGTTCCAGCCGTGCTGCTCCAAGCCCCACCACAGAACCTTTATAAAATGGATAAGGGCTTTGTGTTTTGGGGGTGTAGAGAGGGCACGTCGTTCCCGGCTGGGTCAGTGGGACCCCACGGGCCTCGCCCATGGCTGCGGGATGCTGTGCAGGTAGGACGGCCGTGTTGTTAAGGCATGAGGACCTGCTGACACCGCTTTTTCTTGGGCACCCGCCCACCCCGGTAACTCTAGATTTACCATCGACTGCGTGGCCCAACCTGTCAGCACGAGAAGGCCCCACGCTGGCAGGGGGGACCCCGGGGCTGAGGGACGGCTGCTGCTGCCTTCGTGAGGAGCAGCAGCGCAAGTTCACCTCGCACATCAAACCCAACGGGTCCTGAGCAGGGCACAGCCCTGCCCAGCAAGCCCAGGCACCGCAGCAAGAACTGAGGGGCGGCTCCTGCCTTCACCATCTCCTTTTCCAGCCCAATTTTTCCCTGGGAGTAACGTGCATTGGCAGCACACTGCCAGCAGCCCCAGTGCAGTCGGGTGCAAAGCCCGAGGAGGTGCCTGCCTGCAAACGAACATTTCCCCATTATTTCAGAGCTCTTCTCCTGCCTCATCCCTGGGGTCAGGAGACTGCCGGATGGGTGGCAGCGGAAGATGCTGTGGGCACTGGTCATGAAGGAGCTGATTTTCTCCAGTACCACCTGCCAGCCAAGGAGGAACTGAAACAGGACACAGGAGACGGGATTCACACTGTTACTTTGCAGGTTTTAAAATCCAAGAGTCACAGAATCACAGAATGTCCTAGATTGGAAAAGACCTGTAAGATCATCAAGTCCGATCATTAACCTCGCACTGACAGCCCACCACTACACCATGTCCCTGAGCGCTATATCTACACGACCCTTAAATCCTTCCAGGGATGGGGACTCCACCACTGCCCTGGGTAACGCGTTCCTGATGGCCCTTTCAGTAAAGAAATTCTTCCTAATATCCAATCTAAACTTCCCCTGGTGCAACTTGAGGCCGTTTCCTCTTGTCCCATCGCCTGTTCCTTGGGAGCAGAGACCGCCCCCCCCTCGCTACCCCCTCCTTTCAGGGAGCTGTAGAGAGCGAGAAGGTCTCCCCTCAGCCTCCTCTTCTCCAGGCTGAACACCCCCAGGGCCCTCAGCCGCTCCTCACCAGACGTGTGCTCCAGACCCCTCACAGCTCCGTTGCCCTTCTCTGGACACACTCCGGCACCTCAATCTCCTTCTTGTGGTGAGGGGCCCAAAACTGAACACAGCACTCAAGATGCAGCCTCACTCTTGGTCACCTTTTCGATAACTTCAGGCCAGAACAAGTTGGAGCATTTCTCTTCCAGAAAGCAAGACATGATGGTCCTGGAGAGGAGCATCGCGCAGGGAGGCTGCAGCAGAGGTGGGGACCAGGTTCACACCCTTCCCCTAAAACCTACACAGAAGCAGGCTGGAAGCCGAGCTGGCAGGAATTGCACTCCACGGGGACCGAAGTCTGGAAACACCGCTTTGCCAAGGTCAGGAGACGGCCCTGCCTGCTGACAACTACGCCAAGGGTTGTGTTTGTACCGGTTCAAGTAAGTGAAACAAATAAACAGCTGGGGAACGTGGAAACTATGTGAGCCGCCGCCAGCTCTGCAGAGCTTTATCAAGCAAGGGAGTTTAATTTAGAAGAAATGCGGTCGCCCAGAGCCCAGGGCAAATGGTCTCGAAACGTTCCTGATCTCAGGTTTAGGGCTGCTTTCAAGCAGAACACGTAATCGTGAACATATGGCTCAGGGAGTAACATGATGCTGTGTTCCCATGTAACGCATCACGCGCCAACGGGAGACACACATTTACCGCAGCAGCTTTGCAGCTCCACAGACAATTAACACCGGACCCGGCAGCGCCGGGAGCTGGGCTGCGCCTGCAGACGTGCCAGCTTCTGCCTACCTCGTGCCATCCCACGGACCAAAAAGCCCCTCTCATACACAGGTGAGGGCATGAATTTGCCTCCAGATGTTCCAGGAGCCTTCTGCCCTCAGCAGTATCCCCCTGGATCTCCCCCCCGGGAGAGGCACCTCTACGCCTGCAATGACGGTGCACCGACCACGTTGTCCCAGCAGACGTGCTGGCTGCTCCTGGTCTCCGCTCGCCCGTGCCCTGCTGGGAGCCCACCTCAGCCAGACCGTGCCCTACAACCCTCCCGCAGGAGTAGCCCAGCCCGGGGCTGGTGCACGAGAGCCCCAAAATGTGCCAGGGCCCCGCACCAGCAGTGGGTGTGCGGGGACCACCGGGTCATTTTCCCAGAGCGGAGCAAATCTCCGTGGAGATTTCAGAGCTCTGCTGCTCTGGGGAAGAAGCATTCGGCCTCTCATTGTGCTCCCCCCTAAGCAGCCCGCTCTCCTCTCCTCGAAGGTGGGCAGAACAGGTATTTTGTTGTGCTCCATAAAAAAATACAGACATCTTCTACAGCCTGGTTAGCTCCAGACCATGGGTTTGGAGATGTTTATCTCCTTAATAACCTGTTCACCCCTCAAGCTGGACCACATCCCCACTGCTTAACTTTCCAGAAGTTCCAGGTATATTAACCCTGGCCTGTCTTTGCCGTCTGGAAAATAGGAAAGTCATGAAACTAAGGACACACTGGGTATAGGGAAAAACCATGACTCCTCCTCGCTCTTCCTTGGAGCCTTTATTTTCAGGCACGCTGCACAGCTTCCCCACGCCAGCTGTGGAGCACACAGTGGGGGTTCACACCAGTGGTACAACTGTGCTATAGCAACGCCAAACTGGGTGCTCAGGGTAAGCGCTCATCGGACCAACCACTAAAACCGTAGGTGCTCTACCTTTGTGCTTCATTCCACTGTGGTCTGCTTGAAACGACAGCAGTACGCGCAGGTGGTTTAGCTTGGAAGTTGTCTGAGCAGTTTCTTTGGCTGTACCTTCGCACCAGCCCGCAGTGTCTCTGAGCGGACAGCCCGGCCAAGGGGCTCCTGTTTAACCCCGGGAGAATCGCGTGCCCTGAGGACGCGCGCTGATCCAAACCCCATTTCAGCTTGATTCTGAGGCCACGGGACAGGTTTTAGGAAACAGAGGAAAAGCGTGGACAGACTGCAACTGTTCTCTGGTCCAGGCTGATGTCCGTGCCCAGACAGAAGCAGGTGAGAAGAGAGCGCGCAGGCTGCTGGGGAGAGGGGTAAGTGCAGGACGTGCCCATCCTTAAATAGCCTAGAGGACCCTCAATAAAAAAAAATCCAGCAATACTTGCAGCAACTGACCCCCCTTTAAGCAGGGTGTCCCTCTCCCACCAGCCCTGGCAGGGTGCTGTCTAAATGTAGCTCCCTGATGGATTTGGCTACAGCACGAGGGCAGCTGGCCAGACCAGTGGCCTTCTCGAGTATCGGGGTATTTGGCATGAAGACCTACTGGAATTCAACCCTAACATTTACCTGACCACAGAGGTGCCAGTTAGCCACTTGTCCCCAAAGAGCATCTCCTGCTTTGCAAAAACAGCCCCTCAGCCCTTGGACGGCCATGCCTTCTGTCTTTCAGAGAAAGATCACAGATATTTGGGCTCCACCAGCTTCCACGCACCTCAACTCACGCTGCGGAGCAGTGTCAGGGCTGTCCCAGCTAGTGGTGACTGTCAGGGCTGTGTCTGAGCCCTGCAGCGTGGCAAGCTTTAGGATGGAAAGGAGAGTACAGACCTAAGAAGTGCCACCCCACAAAAGCTATTGCATTATCAACAACGCCATGCCTCTCCTGTGGGCTCCTCTCTCCCATGGCCCCTGGGCCGGTTCCTCCCCGTTCACACAGCCACAACTCAGCATCACAGTGGTTCGCACAACAAATTAAACCGAATCCCTCTGCAAAGGGAGCTGAAGCACAGCTGATAAGCAAAGCACTTAGCACAGGATATGTGTTAATGTCTCGGGGGAATATGTTTAAATGTGATAAACCACCAAGGAAGAACTTGAAGTGTGGTCTCCAAAAACAACCAGGGAAACCGTACTGAAACCTCACGCACTATTCTGCCACTTCAGAAGCAAGATGAAGCTGAAGGTGTTAACCCTCTGCCCTACGTGCAGCGGCGTGCTCTATGGCGATATGGAAGGAAAACAGCGATTGCCTTTGGACTCTCCATGGGTTTTGTTTTTCTCAGCAGACCGCGTACGCGCAGCCCTCGTATCGCCAGGCACGTATCGCCCTGCCCCTCTCAGCTCAGGACCTGGCATCCCCTGCTCTGTCACCTGTGCGACTCTTCTCAGCTTTTCTCTATGCAATGGTTTGCTATAAATACTGGGGAATACCCTTAAAAGAAGAGTCCCCTTAATCCAAAATGCAAAGGGGCGCTCAGGACTGTGCCTCAAGGTCACTGGCACGCTGCCCCGGACAGCAAGGAAAGAAAGAAATCACTTGCAGGTCGTTTTTGCTGGGAGAGCTGGCAGTGAGGAGGGGAGAGCTGTGCTCTCCCATTGCCAGGCTGAGGCACGTGCGAGTCTCACACACCATAACTCAAAAATTAGTCTGTTGATAAAATGGAAGCTTCTTTATTTAGAACAAGAACGGCTCCAAGTTCCTCAGGCGGTTGCCAAAAACATTCCCTACGGTCCTATTGCCACCACGTCTGAGCACATCCCAATCATTACTGAATCTTCGCAGTCCCCCAGGGAAGTAGGGATGTGCTATTACAAAAAAAAAAAAAACCAACCACATTGCTCCAGCCCTGCAAACACCCCCCCGGGGTTTGCTTTTGCACCTCATACAGAGCCCAGCTAAGGCTATCGCGGCTCCCCGTGTGCGCAGCACCGCTGCCTGCGGTAAGGCTGAGCGCTTCGGCAGAGCTTAAGCAGTGAAGGCCAAACTTTTCAAAACAAACCAAATCAGCTAAAGCAAAACAAAGTCCTGCTCAGTAGCTAACTTGCCCCCTGCCTGCCTTAAGCTTTGACCTTCGAGATTCCTCATTGATGTTCCCAGATCCTTCCCCACCTCTGCAGCTGGATGCTCTTCTCACGCCCAGATGCCCCCAGGAGCCAAACGGGAGGCTTTCCCCTGTGGCAGGGAATTCACACACCCCCCCGGGACGGACGCTACGGTACCCCCCTGCACCCCACCGCAGCTTCCCCGGAGAGCGGGGCTCCCTCCAGGGTGCGGGAGCGGATACTGCGCTGTCACTTGTTGGTGGCAGCGCTCCAACCGCAGCACCCGCTCAGAAGACGCTGCAGCATTTTCTGTTACAGCACGGCATCAAATCCGTGGGTCCTTGCCCCGGAGAACACCTCCCTGGGGAAGATGAGAAAGAAAAGATAGATAGAGCGGGGAGCGTAATGAGAGGATGCTATGGCGTCGGTCAGCCTTGTGGGCTGAAGTTAAAAAATAAATGTCGTCTTACATTTTAAGTGAACGGATTGCTCTTTTTAAAGACCTTTGAGATGTTTAAAGATGATACCACAGAAGCCAGGTTACATATCTAATGTCTGCATCACACAAGCAAATCCTGAACAGTTACATGCCATGCAAGAAGCCTCGTAGCCCTGCCCTGTCCCGGCAGGCTGAGCGGGAAGTTGAACAGCACGCTGTGACTCTCCTCCCCAGTTTTGGAGAGTCTCTATGTTCCCGACAGAGTCCCACAGGCACCACTGTGCACTCCCCACAGAGTCCCACTGGCTCCCAGTGTGCCCCAGATCCGTTTGATGCCCACAGGAGCTGTGCCCCAAACTGGACCCCCTCTCCCCAGACATGTCCACCCCTTGGGCTACATCTCATTAAAGACGCAACGGCACTGCCATTGTAGGTTGCGATGTAGAGCTGTAAGTACGTGCAGGACACACACACGAATATTGTTAGCTTCTAAGAAGCGGATAAGCTTTTAAAAATCCCAAAGAGCTTGCAATTGTTGGTAATTGGAGGGCTAGAGTGGTTTAGTCACGGATGGGAAGACACACCACATCTGCATGCCATGGGGGACATGCAGAACGTGCTCTCAGGATTCCTGTCAGCATTAATGGGAAAGAAAAGCCAACGGTTCCCTATCACCGGTGGGGGTCAGCCCATTTGGTCTACAAGGCAAACACAGAGAAGAGGGAGTAAACACAAAACTTCCCACCAGAGCAGAGCAAACCATCTGGGTTCCCGCGCTGGGCTTCCGCAGGGTCCCCTCTGCTACGGGTTTCCCCGGCTCACTGCAGTCACTGCCATAGCAAGATTGCTGCCAGGACATCCTCCTCCTCCCCCCTTTTCACCTACTTTTCCCCAAATAATGCCAAGCCCCGGCCTTCCCACAGCGGCGGGTACAAAAGCACTTGCCATCCAATGTGTTTTACTAAACAGATGAGGCCGCCACCACCGCCGCGCTCCCCGCACCAGTCCCACACACTGGTTGTAAACCCATTTGCCATCGTTAGTTACAGCTGCAGAGCGCTGAGGCTTAAGACCGCATTCAAAAGAGTTGCTTTGCTGGGGCAGGAGCCCGTTAGCAAAACCTTCCTCCCCATTTACCGGGGATGGTGCACACAGGGACTTTCCCACAACACCCAGCAGCACCTCCGCTTTACCTGTGTGCCTGTGGAAAGCCATGATCAGCCGCCCAAAGTCACCAGCAGCCCCCTTAGGTACCAGAGTTCACGGTCTCTTGGCCGATTAGGAGCTGCCCCGTTTGATAACATACATTTAAACGGAGGCTATTAATACGGACGGGACTCCTACCAGATGTCCACTCCCCTCCCCAGAGATCACAACCTTAATCCCCCTTGAAAATTCTTACCATTTTAGGTGATCTGAGGGAGAAGAATAGGATCCAGAGACCTCTAGGTCTCTGTAGGCAACATGTAAATACCTGCCCGGCTACTCAGCACCCAAATTAGTCCCAAAGGCAGAGTGTGCCTCAGGAACTTGACCCCATGCTAGTACTATTTGGCCTTGGCTTTAGAGCTAGATTGTGTCTCATAACAGTCCCGAGCTAAATTACAGACCCGACGTTGATTCTGCAGTGCCGCTGCTGAAGGGAAGAGGTGGATCACAGCCCCACGGGGGCTGGAGGGGCTGCGGTCCCGGGAACCAGCAAGGGGCTGTCCCCTGGCTGTAGGGCCCATAAGTGCCGTGGGTTATACCCCTGGGGATGCAGCTGAGAGCCCACAGGAGTAACAGAGGATACCTTCATGGGGGAGGTTGGACTTGCCTTCAACATGAGCATCACGCTGCAGTTTTACTACCAGTAAAACTGTCATACCTGGTCCTTCTCCAGCTTTTACCCTAAGAGAGCTCAAGGCAGTTCGAAGCGAGCAAGTCCCTGAGCAGCAGCATTTGGAAAGCCCGGTGTGACCATTACGGGACTTGTCTAGCACCTAACAGCATGGCTGGGCCCATTCCCCAGCACGTGGCTTATAAAGAACATGCTGGCTCATGTCTCTGTCCTCTTCACTCGGGTGTCCACGAAGCTCCCTGGAAGACCCCGGCTCCGTGGCTCCAACCAACCTATTCCCACCCAAACCACGCCAGGGAGTGGAGGGAGCTCTGGTTCAGGGCTTGCTCCCCCGGGGACACACAGGCTGCGGCAGCTCCATGGCCACGCTCGCTCTGGGTTATACGGTCGGTGGCGGCGGCGCGTGTTCAGGGCCGGCGGCCAGGGACGCCCAGCTGCTAATCCTGCCTCGACACTGACTCACTGCATGGCCGTGGGAAAGTCAGTTAACCTCCCTGACAGGCACTGGGAAGCGTCAATGTTTATCATTCCTTCCATGGAGCCCATCGCAGTGGCGTCTGGCCTCTGAACAGCAACAGCATGGAGTCACAGAATGGTTAGTGTTTGGAGGGACCTTAGAGATCACCCAGTGCCACCCCCCTCCCTGGGCAGGGCCACCTCCCCCCAGCCCAGGTTGCTCCAAGCCCCGTCCAACCTGGCCTTGAACACCTCCAGGGATGGGGCAGCCACAGCTTCTCGGGGCAACCTGCCCCAGGGGCTCACCACCCGCACAGGCAACAATTTCTTCCGAATATCTCATCTAAATCTCCCCTCTTTCAGTTTAAAACCATTCCCCCTTGTCCTATCACCACACTCCCCAATACAAAGTCCTGAGCATCTTCAGCCCAGTTGGCCCTGCTACAGCCAGGAACTGGGAACACCTCCACTTCTCACTTGCAGAGGACCCAAGAGCTCCTGGACCGCACACATGTGGCCCGGCACGCACAGCCTCCAGCCCCAGCACAGGGCTCGCTGTCTCCCTGGGCCTTCCCACCCATCTCAGGCTCCCAGCCAGCACACCTGCAAGGTCAGCACCTCAACAGCATCCCAACGTCTCCAAGTTTCCAACACAGCCTGGAAAAGGCCACACTCGACAGCACACCATCCCCAAAGAGCACAGCATAGACCCACTTGTGCAGCAGACTGAGGCTGGGAAACATGCTAAAATACTGAGCACGCCGAAACGCTTTGGCGAGGAAAAACCCCAACGTCAGTCTACCCCAGCTCATCTATAAACTCGAGCAAATTGTTTGCATAATTCAGATGGTAACAGGAACCCTAACAACTGGTATTTTCCTGTGCTAATCTTGCTGCACGCAGTGCAATATTTACAGACATGAGTTCATTTTTGGCAATGCACGCAGAGTTTGCACCATTAACCATTCTCATTCCTTTCCAGTGCCCTCCACAGAGCGCTTGGCACCCTCCCACCCGGCAGTCATTTCCTGCTTCCCCCTGAATACCTTCGTATTCCAATTAGAAACAGCAACCTTCGCTCCCCCCCATCCTAAAATGTGGAATAGCATCGCTGTGCGGCGCCAGCAGCTGCCACGTCCCACCCCGGAGGCGGCTGCGATGGAGCAGCGGTTGGACGGCATCGCAGAGGCGTGCGGAGAGTAGGGACGGCCACTCAGCCATCAAAAGAGCTCACGTGTACAAACGTGTGTGCGTTTGCAGCACGACAACAGGCACGGGCTGCAGGAGGTGGGAGAAGGAAAGCTTGGCCAAAAAAAACCAAACAAACCAGGAGGAAGACCCAAGCTCTGCTGGTGCCTGTGCAGCTTTGCCATGGAACTCCCAGGAGCAGCATTCCATGGCACGGCTCGCTCTCCAAAGCCTCTGGTGCCCCCCCCAGAGCAGCCTGTAATAAAAAGGGCGTTTTGATTGAATTTGTGGCCGCCTGGGCCAGCGCAGCAGGCACGGGCTGAGGAACGACCCTTGCCGAGAGGACAGGGCTGCTCTTGGTTTCTTGGCTGGCTTTAGCCCTATGACCCGGCACGATTCCCATCTCAAAGCCCCGGTGATCAAACACACCAGTGGTGCAAGGTGCAGCACAAGTGCCGAGGAGGGACACCAGTGCCCTGTGAATATGCAGGGAGCAGAAACCTGCAGGAAAGAACCCCCAGAGCGGAGGTGTGCCAGCCCCGGCAGAGCCCCTCTCCGCTAGCCGGGCACCACGCACCCGTGGGTCCCAGAGGAGAGAGTGCCAGAAACACATTGGTGAGCACACAGCAGGGTATGCGGGCTTGGGATTTCACGTTTTTAACATTAAACCTGTCCCGCAGGTTTTCAGGACTCCAGGGAGCTGGTCTGGAGACGCTGACCCCACTGCACAGGTCTGCCCGCGAAGCGGCATGGCTAGGGCATAGTGTCATCCGCTCGGATAGACAAATGATTCACATTGTGCTTTCCAGAGTATTTTCTTGCCCTAAACAATCCTGCCAGAAAAGGTCTGGGCGTCTCAGCTTGCTCACACATCCTGCTGTCACTCAACGGGCAGAAAGTCCTAAATAGAGCCGGTAAAACCCAGGCATTGATGAACTGTTAGTCACCATCGTCGGAGAAAGAAGCAGGCAGCAGTAAATAGGAGCAGGAGGGGAGCACGTGTCCACCTCGCCGGGTAACGCTGTACCCTCTGCTTCCAGACACACTGCTTCGCAATGCACGGTAATGCACACCAGCCGTTCGCCGGGCTCCCCACAAAACCAGAGCCCCATGTTGCTCCCTACCCTCCCAGTCGCGCAGGCGGGCGCCGGACTCGCTCCACGCTCTCACTCCGGCTCCAGCTGCTGCTGCGAGAGCGCAGGACCGGCACGGTCCCATCGGCCAGGGATGTGCCAGGCAGCCCTCCACATCCAGCTCTGCTCCCACCCACCGTTTGCACAAAAGCTTCCTTCTTTTCAACTAACAGCACAGCAGTTTGGGAGGGTTTGTTTTTGTTTTTTTTTTAAAATTATAAATTTATCTTAGGTTGCACACAATGTGTGTTCTCCCACAGCAGAGAGCACTCCTCCTGCCCAGCCTATCGCAGACCCTGGTTAAACTTCCCTTGGCTCTTCTGAGGCAGAAAATAAACAAAACTTTATATATATACACATATATATATATACACACACACACATCTATACACACACATATATATATATAGAAAAAAGAGTTTGTGGGAAGCCAACCAAGAAAGCAGTTGGGCTTAAGAGGAGAGAGGACACAGAAAGAGCCTGCGCCTTTGCACTTGCGGCTGGTCCATCAGTAGGATGGAGGAGGCAGCAGCCCCACTGCCGCAGAGGCGCCGGGCAGGTTTGGGATCCAGGGCTGACACCAGGGGCTGATCCAGCTCTCCAAGCACTCGCTATCCCACGTGTTTCTTGCTCCCAGCACCGGCTCTGGCTGGTAAAAGGCACCGCAGTACGGTGTGTGTGGACCGTCCGGAGAGGGCTGCCAGGGGATGGCCCCCGCTTCCCACCCCCCCCCTCCCCCCGAGCCAGGGACACTGCCTGCAACCCACAATCCATCAACCAAAATGGGGAGCTCCCACCGAGTCTTTTCAAAGAGGGCGGGGGGGAAGCCAGGTCAGTTCAAACGCAAACAGTTTCTCTTTAAAAAAATATCACAAAAACGCTTCAGAAGACACAAAACCCGGCTCGTTTTCCCCATTCTGCACTCAAGGATGCGCCTCCGCACCCCTGAAGCATCCTGCAGGCGCTCGAGCGGACGCAAGACAGAGCCAGCCCGGTTCACACGAGATGTACCCACATCCAGAGCAAAGCCAGCAAGGACACCGTTACCAGCCCTGGGGCAAGCCCCGTGCCCTGGGACAACCAGCTCAGAGGGGATGGTGGAGAAGGAAATAGGCAGCACATGGCAAAGTGTTTTCCTTTCTCCCATGCTGAAATCCAGCCGGCAGCTGGGTCGGATCCACATGCTGAGCCTTTCAGTGCCAGGGGAAGCTTTTAGGATCAGCTGTGGAGGTAGGGATAAAGGAACTGGGAATAAATTTGTAAGAAAACAGACAGACTGGGTAACCCTCCATGAACTCAGATATAATACGAGTAGAAACAAGAGGGGGAAAAGGAAGGAAGGATGAGAAGAGAGGAAAAAAAAAAAAAAAAATAAGGATGAGGGTGTAATAACAGACAGGAAAGAATGGCCCAGAGATAATGGAGCTGGAAATAAAAGCCTGCAAAAAAATAGCAAAACTGGGAAGAGATCTAAACCAGGTTCTTCCCATCTGCCTCCATCCACAGGCTGGACTGTTTCCAGGACTATTCCCACGGCAGCTCCAAATTTATTCCCCCGCTGCCATCTGCTCCGCGGCTCCCCTCCGCACACGCTCCCGACTGGCACTTCGTCCCGTCACCTGTTGCTGACATGGCAGACCTCTGGCTGCTGGGAAAGCCAAGCCGCACCGGGGCCCGGGGGCAGTGTCTGCGCGCGAATCGAGAGCTGCTTTGTAGACCCACGGCTTTGCCCGGCTCCTGTCCCCGCTCCCGGCTATGCCAGGGTTGGAGGACAGGAGCCGCAGCGGTGGCAGGGCTCAGGCACCGTATGGACGCACGGCAGCAGCGCCAGGACATAGAGGCTCCAGCGAGGACTGGGGCGAGAGGAGGCTGAAGCGGTATAAGGTGCTGCGCA